GTAAATATCATCCTAACACTATCAAGCTAAATCTCTCTTTATCATTAATTCTCCAAACTGTTTATAAATTTTATATTACAATTTTTTAGATAAATCATGAATGTTAAAAACAATAACAATCATGTGGTTATGAGTCAGAAAGATAAGTAACCCTAAGCAATGAATGGTCTAAAATAATAACCAATAAATGCATTGGAACTAACAAATGTTCTTTGAGTCAAGAGATACCATATATATGATATTTTTTTTTGGCAAGTATCTAATTTTTGCTATATTTTGCACAAAATATATATGTTAAAAGTTAACCAGATTCACAAGTTCTTGTATTAGGAGGACTAATCCTACATTAGTTTAATCATAAATTTTACATGTTGTATTACAACTATCAAATACACTGAACCAATATACATTGTACATTGTATAAATATTAGGTATTCCATATTATTGAGCATTTAATGTTTTGAAAATACACAATGACACAATAAGTGAAAATGTGGCCGTGAAAATGTGTTTTTATTTGTTTGTTTTACCGATTGTCAAAAAAAGCTAATTTAATTAATACATGTGTACAAGCACTGAGGTAGCTTGACATGTTAACAATAAGGTGAAAAAAACAATACCAAATACTTACAAATAGGAAACTTTAAAAACAAAATTTAACATCACTGTCTTAAATAGAGTGATGTCGCTTTGTCAGCAGGAAAAAAATGCAAAAACAGACAACAGTCTTATAAATTTATTTGGCATGAATATGTTGACCCATTTTAAAAATGCCAGCGTCTGTGCAGAATAGGAAAATGCAGTTTATGGTTGGAAAAAAATATTGCCAAATTATAGGCAAATAATTCTAATTTGCTGGACTAGCTTTGAGATATTTATACTTCTTAAACTTCTTCAAGTTCATTAAAAATTTTATTATAAGCACAAAAATTTTGAATCAATAATACTGTATCATCACAGTCATCATAATATATGAAATATACACCTTTGTCTTTTTCTCAAAGTTCTGCCAAATGCATAATTATAGTTCATAGACTAAACACTGGTACGAACACGACCAGGTACGAAAAACACAATGACATTAAAATATTTCAATATAAAACACTGAAATTATACAAACCCTATTGAGAGACATGACGCTTAGAACGTTTCCACATCAATAATTTATTATGATACACATTAAACATAACATAAGCAGGAAGTTAATACACTACTCTGCGTCATTTTTCTTCCTTATATTTTTGGACGATGATCCGATCTATTTACTTTCGGTTACCGCATTGAGTTGAGTGTAAATGCCAGTATACGGTATTTCAATCCGTTTTTTAATGTTCCAAGGTACAGTTTTTAGCTTGATAAAATTTACCATGTATTACTTACCATGGATTTCATGTAATATAAATCCGTAATTGGAACATAGTGTGGCATAAAGTTTTTGAATTATTCGTCCGTCGTTAACGATACCTAGATCTTTAGATCAAAAGTCAGGTCAAACTTGGGCTTCATGGTCTAAACCAAAGGGACCCGGCACAGTGATAGTCTAGAAAAAAAAATAAAGTTTATATATACTATACAGTATATTACATATAAACTATATATTTTTTTCTAGAATTACTTTTTTACACCATGCAAACATTGTGCCGGGTCCCTATGGTCTAAACTGGCCAGCTGTATACTATAGATGTGTTCAGGTTTTGAAGCTGCATGCCGCCAGATAAGCCAAAATACATGTATTTAAAGAAAATCAATCTTAAAAAAAATGCACTAGTAAAAATTTTAAGAATAATAAATGATTCAAGATTCAAGTAATAATTAACATGTTATGAGCGATTAATGACTCATTTTGCAATACATTGTATTTACACGTAGTAACGACTTTTTTTTTATTTTGACCCCTTTTTAGTAATTTACGTGCACTGTAATTAAGCGCCGTTTGCAATGTGTAAATTCACATATCTTTGTCCACTTCACAATATTTAAATTCTTTTTTATACATAATATTATATATTTTGAATATTTTCAAAATTTGCATGAATCTTAATGTACCAGTTTGAATTATGTTCTCGTAATCAAATTACCACTGTCTTTGTTGTTGTTGGGGTCCACTGTGTACTGTGGCCCACAGCACGGCCGTTTTTTTAACGTGCAATGCAGGGTTTTCACAGAATATCTAAACCATATGGCAAATGTTTTGTTTGGCATGTAGACGTCGTAAACACATACACACACGCGCGCGCACATGCCGCTCACCGCGCGCACACAAGAGACCAACACAATTCTTTGTATATATAATACGAAAGGGTCTGATAAGTATTTGTTTGTTGGAGTTCAAGTCACATCGGCACTGTAAAGGTTATACATTGTGGCGGTGCCTCAATTGGTGCATTATTTTAGCACGAATATATAAGCTAGCTGGATAGCTACATCTCATGAACAATTCTATAATGTCCCTGACCAACTATATGGTGAGTATTTTGGGGTCCCAATGCCCCCTTTACGTGACATCGACCCAAAACAAGTCTGTTCGTTGCACAATTTTAGGACATTTATTCAAAGTTTGGTGTTCTGCAATTGAAACTTGCCAAATCACCACGGACGCCATGGATGGTCAATAATTGTAGGACATGTACAATTACGTACATACAGTATACTGGAACACGCGGAGATCATTATAATAATGTACTTGTAGATTACACGTAGTTCCATCGTTAGGCACGTATGCGGGAGGGAATTTCGTTGCAACAGACGATTTGAACATTTTGTACATGCGGTATTCTGGTTCACGGAGATCATTTCATGGACGTCTTACACGTCTGCGGGATGCTCATTGCAACACCCGAATCACTAACTTAGCCATTCAAGTTTTATCCTTTGCAGAGAAACTCACGTGAAATATATGTAGCTAAATATACATACAAATCTGTTATTCTTAGAAACAAAATTACAATTTCACTCGGGAGTCTGTGGAAAAGTAAAGCTACGAACGCTTTTTTTTTAAAGTATTTTAAAATAAAACTTTGTTTTAAAGTGTGAAATATGTTTTTCAGATGTTTTGTGTATGTAAATGTACAAGACATGACGTTTTGATTTATTGATTTAGTATTTTTATTCTCTTTTGTAAGAGAATTTTATGTCTAAAACGTTATTTTTTTTAAGAGAATTTTATGTCATAAACGTTATTACACCGTTATCTAAATACTCGTACATGTATACGGAGAAATTTATGTAGTAAACGTTTTCTCACTTAAAACCTTGTACGTATTTATACAAGTATAATATAAGTGTGTGAAGTTATAAGCAAATGTCTTTGTAGATTGATGTGATATAATGTTGTTCAAGAAGTTGCATATGAAATTATTACCAAAGAGTTACGACGATGCCAACGCATTGGTGGAGAAAGAGAGCCCCACTATTCTTTGAAAGTCGTTGCTAAAAATTAATAAGTACAATAAAACAAACCATAACATTGTATTTGTCTTGTTTTATTTACCATATCAACAATATGTTAATATGACAATCAATTTTGTTTTTGTTGAAAGTATTTTCTTAGGTAGTGTTTCTTACACACAATTTATTCGTACATGTATTTATATGTACATGTATATATTTTTCAAATGATCGTAACATGATCGTAAATATTTTTTTAACAAACAAACAGAAAATAATTTAGGTATGTTAGCAAGCTAAAACTCAAATTAATAAATCACATAACTCTCACCTTTATTATATTTGTTCAACAATTTGAACATTTAGCATTCATTGTACATGTAAAAAAGTCCATCTACTTAATTTAATTTAAAATTAGATCTACTAAATCTACAGAAACTGTGCTTCTTAACACAGTCGTACTATTTCTTGAGTGATAATCTTTTAAGTAATTGATGATAATTCATTTTTGAAAGTTTGTAATTTTTTAACATTATGGAAAATAAAAATCAATTAAGCAATGGATTTTCCACTTTGATGAAACTGAAAGCATGACTGTACTAAGAGGAAAACCAGAAAAATACTAGTATATTCTTAACATTAGACACCTTGGTCCTATAACATGAAACTACTTGTGAGTATATAAGATCTTTTATAGAGGTTATAAACACATCTTATGTCTTATATATCAGTCAATAAATTAAAGTGATAAAAAGTATGAGCTTAGAGACAAACTAGCAACCGTAGTTTCATCAAAATATTGATGGAAATAAACAATGTAGATTACTTAAGCATGAAGCATGTTGCAAAGACCAGGTTTTACCCTGGTTTAAAATTTCTTAAAGCTAAGTGTGACTGTCATTTCATACATTTTTTTTTATCTAAATAGCATATCATGGACAAAAAATCCTTTAGTCAAATAATAATTTCTATAGCCAAACTAGTAAAACTGTATCAAATGGCTAAAATGGCTCTTGACAGAGTGAGCCCTGAAGACCATAATTACAGTATCTAAGTATCAGGTGGTGTGGATCACGCAGCAAGCCACATTGAATTTACCAATCATCGTACGATAAGATTTCCAAAATCGTACAATCGTTAATAAGATGTACGGGGCCCAGAGCACAGTTCAGCGTAAATACTAAATATCAGTGGTGGTGGTGGTGGTGTTGGTAGCTACCCAGATGGATCAAGCAGCGAGCCACACATGCACACCACAACACAGTTATTCACATCACCGTTCCTGGGCAAGTTTTTGTAAAGCGTTTACCCTTTTAAAATGTTTACTTTCCAAGGGGACTCTAGTTTCTTTTGACATGCAAAACAAGGTAAGACGAAGACCGTAGAAAATTCCCGTCAATACAAGGAAAAACCCGCACCTCGGGTCGCCCGATTAAAAGTCCCAAAGCTCTCCTATGAGACGGACGGGGTTTTAAAAATCAGAAACTGTAAGATCCTTATAAGGGCTAACACAAACCCCCTGGGGGCAATATTTCTTACCCAAAGGGGGACAGGGGTTTGTTGATCACAATTTGATTTTTTTCCCGTAAATGTTTTTTCCTTGATAATCTTGTTTATATGTTGGGACAAAATGGTTTGGGAAATTTCCCTTTTCTACTAGGCCCTGGAATACTTTCATTTGTTTGTTCTTTGTATCTTTTAGATGCCTCTTCTGTCAAATTTTGCCAAGATTTTTTCATCTTCTTCACTTTAGTATTCGGATTTTGCTCTCTATTCATTTTCTTACCCGTCACTTTTTGCGTTTTAATTACCAGACCATCTTGATTTCTTACTTTTATATCCCTTGATACTTGTTTCAACTCATCGATTACACTTATTTCATTAATTTCAATTTCTTCAACATTAATGTGCGCCTTTTTGATATGTTTCTTGCATAAATCTTTTCTGGAGTATTGGCGACTGCAGGCACCACACTCGTACCTAAATTTTGCCGAATGCATTTTCTCGTGCCGGACCAGACTGCTTCCGTCACTAAACTGTTGATCGCAGGAAGAACATTTGTACGGTTTCTCACCGGTGTGTGTTCGGATATGTTTTTTGAGGTCAGAGGTTATCACAAAAGATTTCCCACAATGCTCGCAGACATGTTCCTTCTCACCGAGATGACGCTTGTAATGTTGCCTATATGTCCCTCGATCTGAAAAAAAAAACAATTTTTAGTTTTAAGAATTTAAAAATTTTTATTTTAAATGTAAATTCCAAATTTTATAAAATTTATATATTAAACACATAAGAAACTGCGCATGTTTCGTTGTAGCAAAACTATAGTTATATTGGTGATACACGCATGTTTGACAACGGGTACATGCCTTAATTGTACATAAAGCTGAAAAGTTAACGTTTTGCATTTTTTTGCCGTATACCATCTTGATAAATGTTAAATTTGTAATAAAATGCGTAAATACTACTAATTTAAAAAAAACCTGGTCGACTTCGAACTGAGAGGTCTCACGTAACTGGCGTCATTTAGAAATGGCTCGTACAAGATGTCGTTTCAAAACTAGGAGGGTTTAATTATACAAAGGCATATAGGGCAAGTGATCAAAAAGGTCAATGAAGTATGACCTCTAGTCACAAATGTAATATTTGGTTGCAGATTATTGTCCATCATTCATTCACCTTAAGGTATCTCGGAGCCTTCATACAGTGCATACACTTGGAGGAACCAACGACTAAATTGTCAACAAAATGTACCAGTCATGCCATTTATCTGAATTATTAATAATTATACACACAAACCTCTGAATTTCCTGAAACAGATGTCACAAGAAAATCTCAATTCCTCGTCATGCTGGTTCATATGTGCTTTCAGGTTTGATGGTCCACGAAAACCCAGACCACACACCTCACATTGCCAGGGCCTCTCTCCCGTGTGCTGATTTATGTGAATATCCATGTTCTGTTTTATAGTCATTTCCTTTCCACACATTATACACTGATACATCTTTTTACCTAAAATAATTACGTATGGTAGAGTCAAATCTTTCCAAAAGAGCATATTAACCTTACATGATCAGTCAAGGAAAATGGCCAAATGGTCAGACTGCACGGAAGTGCAGGCTGGCCTGGCTCTTTACTGGGGGCAAAGGATCACTTTCGGTTCCAGAAGGTTAAAAGGGTATTTTTTAGGAACAATGGGTATTTTTTTTAAATAGCACCAACACAGTGATAGTCATACTGCGTGTTACTGGTGAACGAATACCTCAGGAGCCCTTCCCTGCACTATTTCATGCACGAACAAGCTCCTGAATAGAACCAAAGACGTTCCGTAAGCTAGTTGGATAGCTTCCTCACATGAAGAATCCAAAGTCCCTGACGGGATTTCAACCCAAAGGGACGAGGGGCAAGAAGTTTTAAGTAAGCAACCTCAACCACTCTCCGTGGAGGTTAATAGTTAATACATGTAGTAAATAATGAGCTATGCAGATTATAAATGGTAATGGTTCACTGAAAATCAATGCTGCAGTTATGGAACTTGTTTAGTGGGCTATAATCATGACCCTATGCACCCATGCGACATTTCAAACTTTTAATGGTTGTTGTTGTAGAACGTGTATGCAAAACCTTGACCGGGACATTTCTAAATTCACAAAAGAGAGTTATTTAGAGGTACAAGTAAATTATGTTGGTCAGTGATTAATAATTTAATATGAACTTGCAAGATAATAAACTTTTTTTTATACTTTTTGCCTAGTTTGCTAAAATTGTAGCTTATGCCAACAGGCATGAGCCAGGTCAGGCTTCCACCTATCAGTAATTAAACGGTTGCAGTAGTATTTTGATACAGAAATCTATGAAATGAAACATATGAATGATAAACATTTTATACATTTTGTCCTCAACTCAAAAGGATAACACATTTCTCCTGTGATTTACAGGCAGCACTACAGATGTTTACATTTCCTTATTTAGTGCTCGCCAATTTTTTTAAGCCAATCACCGACGAGGATTTTTCTAATTTTCAGGTTACAAATCTTAATAGAACAGATTTTATATAAACTGGACGTTTTATATTATAAAACGCAAGTGGGCGGAGCACTAAGCCGGTTAGAGTGCATATTGGTTGTTCTTCGTAAATAAGAAAGTTACAGTCGCTTCGCAAGCTCCGCTCCTTTTTAGCTTTCTTATTTACGAAGAACACCCAATATGCACTCTAACCTATACTTGGAACATATAGAATGGAAAAATACAAGGAAAGAGGAATAACATTTTCATATTATTTGAAATTATCAACAAGACATCAACTTTCTTTTCAGTCCTTTTATAAGTTTATACATATCATCTCATAAAAGGATTATTCATATTCTCATTCAACAATGTAAAACTTAAATCTGTGCTTGGTATACAGACATGCCAACCGGCCCCACCCCTGCCAGCCCCTACCCCCACCCCTGCCAGCCCCTACCCCCACTGATCTGCCAGCCCCTACCCCCACTGATCTTTTTTCTTATAAGATTTTTCTTGCTGTAACTTGCCAAAACTACATACCACAAGTGTATTTAAGAGGACATGAATGGAGAAAAGAATATCACAAATTTTGGTGCTCACCATACCTATTTTCTAAAAACATTGAGGCAAAATGAATGTTGCAGTAAAATAACTAGCTAAGAATTTGGACCTTTGTGTTGATGTGTATAGTATAAATTCATTGATACAGAATAACCAACAGACCAGAATAGATTAAGCATAGTCCTATTTGAAAAGGGAAATAACCAGAGCAAAATGAGAGTCCACTACCATGCTACTTGCCAAACGCATGGACATTTCATTGTCAAGAATATGTTAAAATATTAAGTCATTGGTACATGTAGAAACTTAAAGTGGATTGACCTACAATGGGCTCATTTTCCATCAGTATTTCAAATATTGATAAAAAAAAACAACATAGAAATGTATTGTTTGGATATTCTGATGAAATATTTCTTAAAATGAAAATTTTGATAGGGTTCCGAGTCATTTAGTATGAGCATTTATGTAACACAGAACAATATTTTGTTCTTTTTTTGTTCTTATTATCTGCTAATATATAAAGATATGTAATTTCAGATCATGTATCATACACTTGTAAATAATTCATCTGTGATTTGTTGTCAAACATAACACTAGATACTATAAACATAATTATTCATGGTATGACAGACCTTCCATTATTGACCAATTCAATTTAAGATATATTTAAATTACCAGAATACTAGGTTAACCTAGTACAGACAGATGGACAAGCAGTTCAATTAAAACAAGAACTGTCGGAGGACAGTAACGCTCGACTATTCGAAAATTTGTCACAAGGGTGTTTCATTGAGTATAATAATGCTTACCTATATGAATACATAAAATTGTCCGAAAAGGTACAAACTCTTCAAGTTTCAATACATTCCCTTCAGTAGTTATGGAGAGACAAGCTTACATGCAAAAACTTTACCAAGAATTCATGAGTCGAAAAAGGGGCATAATTATGCAAAAAAAGCAAATCAGAGTTATGGGACTTGTACCAATCATCTTAGATAATCACAGAGAACAAGTGTGTGAAGTTTCAATCCATTCCCTTCAGTAGTTATGGAGATAACAGCTTACATGCAAAAAAACTTAACCAAGAATTTTCTAAGTCGAAAAAAGGGGCATAATTATGTAAAAAAGCAATCAGAGTTATGGGACTTGTGGCAATATCTTAGATAATCACAGAAAACAAGTGTGTGAAGTTTCAATCCATTCCCTTCAGTAGTTATGGAGATACCAGCTTACACGCAAAAACTTAACAAGAATTTCTAAGTCGAAAAAGGGGCATAATTATGTAAAAAAGCAAATCAGAGTTATGGGACTTGTGCCAATCATCTTAGATAATCACAGAGAACAAGTGTTGTGAAGTTTCAATCAATTCCCTTCAGTAGTTATGGAGATAACAGCTTACATACAAAAACTTAACCAAGAATTTCTAAGTCGAAAAAAGGGGCATAATTATGAAAAAAAAAGCAAATCAGAGTTATGGGACTTGTGCCAATCATCTTAGATAATCACAGAGAACAAGTGTGTGAAGTTTCAATCCATTCCCTTCAGTAGTTATGGAGATAACAGCTTACATACAAAACTTAACCAAGAATTTCTAAGTCGAAAAAGGGGCATAATTATGAAAAAAAGCAAATCAGAGTTATGGGACTTGTGCCAATCATCTTAGATAATCACAGAGAACAAGTGTGTGAAGTTTCAATCCATTCCCTTCAGTAGTTATGGAGATAACAGCTTACATACAAAAAACTTAACCAAGAATTTCTAAGTCGAAAAAGGGGCATAATTATGAAAAAAAGCAAATCAGAGTTATGGGACTTGTGCCAATCATCTTAGATAATCACAGAGAACAAGTGTGTGAAGTTTCAATCCATTCCCTTCAGTAGTTATGGAGATACCAGCTTACATACAAAAACTTAACCACAGGGACGCCGACGCCGACAAATGGGTGACTGCATTAGCTCGATTATTCTGCGAATAGTCGAGCTAAAAATTAAAGTGAATTTTAAAACACACCAATACATTTTTTTTCTATTTACAAATATTCCATGTTCTTTATTGCATTCATTCCATTTATATTTAAGATATGTAAATAACTATAATACAGTCTTCTACAATATTGTAAAACTATCTACAACTGTAGTCAAATTAACCATAGATGGATTTTCTATTGTAGCCCCTGCAGTAATATGATCATTTCTAGTCAATTTTTCATTTTCTAACTTTGTATCAATCACAAATGATTCCAATTTCTCTCTATCCATTTTCCCAAGAGCATACTGTTCCTTGTGGCATTTCTGCAAATGGCTTATCACAGAGTTTTTCCTAGAAAATGCCCGATTACACAGAGAACACAAGAATGGTTTCGGTATGACATGGTTTTCTGTATGTCTATACAAGGCACTTATATCAGAGAACTGTTTATCGCAATGTTTACAACTGTATGGTGTAGCACCGGTGTGTGAGCGGGTGTGCTTGTTTAAATCTCCTTTCGTCACAAACTCCTTGGAACAATATTCACAAACAAAAGCCTTCAAGTCAAGGTGTCTCAGTAGATGCTGCTTCAGTACTCGATTACCTGAAGTGAGATGTTCACATAAGACATGAGCTAGAAAATTGTATTTGGAATAGTTTATCATAAAATGTCACACAGATACTTTACAGGTTAAATGGCAACTCTAGCTTTACTGGTAAAGAATGGTACCCATTTGTGAATTATTTCAGGCACAAAAAGACTAGTGATGACCTAATATGAAAGACAATTAAGGGAGTAGTTATCGGCTCCCAAAAATGACTTACTAGTAAAAGTTAAAGGTGCAGAAAAGAGAGATACGAACTGACCCTCCCCATTTCCCTTTTTTTATCATCAATAATTGATTCTCAATGATTGTCTTTAATCATGCAAAGTTAAACAAAAATATCTATGATAGTTTAAATTTTCCTTCTTTGCCTTTGAATAAAACTTTCATTACTCCAGGAAGCATCTTAACAAGCATTCAAATTCCTGGCACAATCAAAACCTACAACACTGCCAGCCATTTCAATTCTTTAACACAAATACATTATACTTGTGTTTTTAATCTTTCATTTTAATTTCTGTTTTCTTTGGACATTTTGGAAAGCTGCTCCAGAATAATTATTGGCCATCAAAATTCTGTAGTTCTAAATAATGTACTATAAAACAGTAATTAAAACGAAATTGTCTGAAAAATATCCATTTCAAATTTTATGTGATCATATGAAGGATGCTATAGATGGCTTATCAGCAGCTATCAAAGTCCTATTCATCAGTGGAAGTATGGGAGTCATTAACTCTTGACTTTGGCTTAGGACTTATAAAATATAATGTTTTTCCTTCTTTACCTATATAATGTGACTCCCAATGTCAAACATTTTTGCAGTCTCTTACTTCCAGGAACCACAGGCGCTTGTCACATAATCAAATATTTTACATAATCAGCCTATAAATGTACATTAACCCTTTCCCCCATGAGCATATTGTGAAAAATGGCCGTTTTCACTGAAAAGCTTCCTGTTACAAGTTCAAACTGCTATGAAACTATGAAAAATGTTTCAATACTAATCAAACTTGGCACAAATGTTGACTGGACCATTGCCTTTGTAATGACATGATCAGTCTTCAATTTCCGGTTACCATGGCAACGAGGGGACATCTCAAAATTGCCAAAAATCACTATTTTGCCTCGATATTTTCCATCAAAATTTATTTCAAAGTGCTGCAACTGCTCAAGGGATTGAGATAGAGTCAAAGGCTTTTCAGCGTTGGTTAAAAATTACATTATGATCGACCTGGGGTCATTTTTAGCCTCTCACAAGTCCAAAATTTTCTTGGCGATGAGGGGGACCCCGCCCCCCTTCATACCCCCCTAACAGTAGGGGGCACATCCCCCTTCTGGCAACCCCCTGATGTATCTTTTGGATGGGGAGCGGCGCTGAAAAAGTGCTCAATTTTTTAAGCAACATTTCTCAAACGAAAACTTATGTTTGGGGCCCAACCAGGACATTTTTTCACTATTTGAGGCCTAAAAAAAGGGGGGGGGGGGGGGGGGTCGAAAGTGCGTTGTTTCGCGTATATATGTGGTAAAGGGTTAAGGTATCTTATTATAGTATATAGCCCATATAAAACATAAAAAAAGTTTGTCTCAAGCACCTGTGTTTGGAACTTAATGGAAGCCCTGAAGCCCTGATTTACATTGTAACTTAATATTAATGTAGACAATTTTTTTTAATATTAATGCAGACAATTTTTTTTTCTAAACAAATAAAAGGCATCTTACATTTAAACGTCTGTGGACACAGTGGACATTGGAAAGGTCTCTCCTCTTGGTGAACTATTTTATGCTTCTGAAGATTGTTGTTGCTTTTAAAACTACTTCCACATATTTCACACACAAAGTCTCTTGTCGCTGTATGCTCGTATATGTGCTTTTTGGCATTATGGCGGTATTTTGACGAGTAGCCGCACTTCGGGCAGCCATACATTGGTATACCTAAATAACATTAAACAAAACATTTCTTTTAAGCTGTACAAAACTTAAATCAGATTGAATTCTAATTCAAACACTTAAAAGTGCTCAACTAAAGGTCAAAAAGCTTGAAAAACATAAAACTTGAATTTTTGTTTAATAAGTCCTTGGCATTGAAAATGGAGCAATATGCAAAAGATAATTAAGAAATATATTCAGAACTACATTTGTAAACTTCAAATGAATTTAAGAATGATTCTAAGCCAGATTCTTGATAAAAGCATTTGTATGTTTTTCATTTTTGGGTCATTTTGTACAATAAAAAAGATTCAAAACTATTTTTCGAGAAAAACAGAGTAAACTTAAACATTTCAGGCACAAGTGGGCACAGATCTACCTTTTCCTTGATTTTATGAATGAGTGCATGTAAAAAATTTAAGATTTTAGTGACGGAATAATCAATTTGAATGCCATTTGTAGAAATTTTTGATTTTTAGAATTTTTTATCGCTTTTTATTGCAATAAAATATTGATTATTTCAATATTAATGAAATTAAGCATTTCAATACTTCTATCATTTTAAACAAAATTCAAGTAAAATTACTATAATCATATTCTTTAAACATACATAGAAAAATGATCTGACGAAGAAAACACTTACCATGATTTTACAAAATTCCTGACATCATTTTCTAGGTGAAGTAAGAAACACAAAAATATCGTATCCTAAACACTCATTTTTTGGCGTAAAACAGACATTTTCCTTATAATCGATTAAAATGTTGAAAATTTCCATAGAGTACCCACAAGGTTCAAAATGTATAAAGAAGATTTATTTCCTATCAGCACGAATCTTTTTGGTAACTGTATTTGTATATATATGAATATAATAACGTTAGCATCTATATTTTAAAGTTTAACCATCTATAAACTGAATAACATTTAAGATGATGTATAATATAATATATATGTATTGATTTTGTTCTATTTCCCCCATTATTCCAACATCACCCCATTATTCCAAAATCACCACACTGAAATTTCCAATTAAGATTGGTCTGTGCTTAAACCTTTTTATTACACGGCTTAGCGGATGGGAATGTCACATTTTATATTAAATTTTATTTTCCAGATGTTTCGAAAAACACAATTCTTAGAAATGAAGTTCAAAGAAAAAAATAAGTTATACTTGTACATATGTAAATGTACATAATACTAATATAGAACAGTAATATATCTAACTACATGTATTATTTCCTAATTGAAACAATTTCCCTAATTTAAAAGATCCGGCTGAAAACAGCAAAAAAAGTCATGCAAATATCTCATATAAAAAAGATCATTTTCCTAAGTAAATTTTTAAGACTGCTACTAATATCAAAAATTTGTACAAATGGCTATTCTAAGTGATGAAATTGTATGCTTTACAACAAACAAAATAATCTTTGTTAAAAGAAAGAAACAAAAGTTTGTAATCAGTAATGACTTGTTAAAGTAAAAATCACACCTGAACAAGATGCATGCCATAAGACTACAAGAACGTGTATATGGATATTTGAAATACTGCTTTGGCCTTCCAATTGTACATACATTTACACATACATGTAATCAGTATTCATAATTCAAATTCAAAACCAACCTGCATTTATTTAAACTTTTAGAAAACTTTTAAAATGTTCATAATTACTTTTCAGGGTAGAAAAAATAAGACACAAACCTTCCTCCGATATCATAACAGTGTACAGCTGTGTAGTCTCTCCTTTCTTCTTGACAGTGCTGCTCGGATTTGCATTTGACTCCTTCTTCTCTACCACATTCCTAGTTTTCCTCTTTTTTGTATTTGTACCTGTTGATTTATCACCCTCAATATCACCTTTATCATCATTTTTACTGCTGATTTCCGTTTCTTTCAAAGTTTCTGATTTTTCAATATTATCATCATAACCCTCTACTTCAATTTCTACATTGTAATCTTCAACATCAGCAGTATCTTCTAAATTTGTGTTTTCTGTACTATAAACAATGTCAGGATCTGTATCAGGTACTTTAACATTTTCTCCCATATTTTCATCTTTTATTATAGGATCTTTATTATCTTTCAGAGAGTCTTCTATTACAGGTTTAATGTCTTTCAGAGAGGTTGTTTTAACTTTTTTTGCGATTGTTCTTTTACATTTTATCTTTGAATGTTTTAGACATTTCAACTTACTTGCTCTTTTAACTTTGTTCTTCCCTTTTTCAGAACTATTTGTTTCTTCACTACTGGCCTGTAAGACATTTTCAGGGGCAGTGAGCTTCATAAAATATTTTGTAAAACCATTAGTGGTTTCACCTTTCTCTATGGTACTAACATATAACTCATTTTCAATATCCATCTCAATCATTAAGAACCTATTTGGATTCACAAGTTTTAAAGTGATTGGTTCAAGACGGAGCACACATTTTTCATCAGACTTAAAAAGTCTACAAAAGTCCTCCTGCATCCTACTTTCAACATCACCTTCCAACGTGTTGTCTTGAACTTGTTCTTCATTGTCATATAAGTTATCAAGTTTTGGCAATTTGCAAGACCCTTTTGATTGAGGCACAGACTTTTTGCGTTTCAGTGCTCTGTTTTCCCTTTTTAACTTTGCACAATCTGTATCATTCTCATGCTTTCTGAAAGACTCTGATGTTTTTCTGGAACTTTTTATAGCTTGATCTTGTATTCGTCTACATCTTAATGTCATCGTTTTAGTCTTGACAGTTTTATTTTTATTTATTTTATTGAAAGATTTCATTACATTTGCATCTTTATTTATAAGTTTATCACAACTGACATTTTCCTCTTCATCAGCCTCTTGATCTCTTTGCAAAGGTTTTTGCAAACTTTCAATCACTTCTGATTCTAGACTTTCTACCACAATTTCATCTTTGACACTACTGTGTGTATCTCTATTTACCTGAAGAAAGTCTGAAGTATTTTGAGGTTCATCCAAAGGTAATACTTTTTGTATATCTGAGGATCTACTAATCACCATATCAGATGTTACTATTGTATCTTCAGTTATTGTTTCATCATGTAAATGCGTATTAGCTATTCCACATTCAGCACCAAAACCTGAATTCTCAACTTCAGTAACTTTCTCATTTACATCTGCTTTTGTCAGTTCCGAAACTTCAGTTTTAGGTTTACCTTTTTCTAAGTACTCTTCAAAAACTTCTTTCTTTGATTTCCCAGCACTATTTAAATCATCCAGGGAAAATTTCTGTAAATGTGATGATGATTGTTTTCTTTCAGTGATGACACTCTTTCTCTGTTTTCCTTTCACACCTTTAGGTCTACATTTCCTTGTATCTGAAATCACTTCTGTATCATTTTCTGTCCAGTTCTGTTTACCTTGAATCACCTGTATCTCTCTGACCTCCCCCCGGCTGTTTGTGCAAACTAGGTAGCTCTTATCAGCCAGAGATCCACTCTCTGAAGTAACAACATTTGTATCACCAGCAACTGCAGTATCCGTTATATTGGCAACAGCATCTTCCAGTTCTTTATTACTATCCAGATTCAACTGATTATCAGCAGTGTTTGGTAAATGAATAAAAGTACTTTGAGCATTAACAGATGTATCACTAAGAAATGGCTGAATTATCACAAACTGCTGTATTCCCTGAGAATTTCCAACAGTGTTAGTAAGATTGTAACTAATATTTGAGTTCTCAATGGGCTGGTATGAAACCATATTATCATTATGTAAAGAGGTCAGTTCTTGGTTGGTGAATGTTGATGTTGCATAGTCAGTGTCAGATATAACATCAGCAATTGGTTGAGCTGAATACTCATCAGTTTGCTGTATGGTTGCTATGTCAGCAAGAAGTGAAACATAACTGCCTTGTGCAGATGTTACATCAGGTTGGGAAAGGGCCTGAGGGCACTGACTATCTATCTGCCCTAATGGAAGACTATCCCCTTGTCCAAGATCACCAGGATTCCCAAGCTCATGTGAGGTCATTTCATGAACTGTTTGTGCCTCATTTTCAAATTGAGCATTTATAGTTTGGTTTTCGTCAGTATTACTTGAGACTGGTACTGTAAACATTTTCTGGAATAAAATAAAATGAAAATCAAATTACAAACAAGATAAGAGTGAGATAATTGCCCTTTTATCCTTCCAAAACTAAATACAAAATTGTACTTCTCTATATTTTTTTTTGTACATTTGTAAGTAACATACATGCAATGATTTGTGCACACCAGTTTCTTTAGAGTCCTTTTTTTCCTTCTACATCAGGGCAGAGATTGAAAATTCCACTTGTCAGCTAGTATTAGTAATTACATGTAGAATTTAATTCAATGCTTGAGGAATTTTACAAGCATTATGATTTCTGTTCGCTATATTTTGCTGATTTTGTTCATCGGCAATAAATGTGCATACATTTGTACTTCCATGCATGGACTTTGGAAAATTTGCAGTTATAAACATATTTTCTGCGTGAAATTAAAATGCGTTATTGTGCCTGACTTGGCATGCTGGCAAAGAAAACTACAAAAAGATTCTAGTTAATATAAAAAACACATGTCTCAAATTTACTATTGAACAATCTAAATAGGTATAACCGAGGTCAATGTCCTGTTTTTTGTTTGACAGGTATAACCGTATTACAAATTTATGGAGTGAGGTAGGGTGAGAGTGGTTTCGTCGAACTACCGGTTCGGCGAACTTATCTTATATAATTAAACAGGTAGTGGTTTCGGTGAACTTAATTTATATAGTGCAAACAATAATTATTGTATAATGGGCATGCCAATTACCGTGGTTTATCACACATTCTCATGCAATTAACGACAAAATATTGAAAATTTTAACCTATTATTTTCTTTAGTATAATAGTAATATTTACATAAAAGCATTACACAATACAAAAGAACAACATCATAGAAATATATACACGTATATATAAGTAAAACCTGGGAAAAAAACGAATTTATAAAAAATATTGATGATAAAAACATTATATTTATGAACCATGTGTACTTTGCCTTTAATTACTTTATAAGATCGATGAAACCACTTTCTCACCTCTTCATAAATTAAGTTCGCCGAACCGGTAGTTTGACGAAACCACCATAATTCGTGAGGTATACATACAGTTTGATTAACTAGATTGACATTTATAAATTTTTACGAAACATCAGTTGTGTTAAGAGAAACACCACTGAGATAAGGAAAATCTTACTCGCCCTATTTGGCCCGACCCAAACTTTCACTCAAACTTTCACTGGCAAATATGAGCAGGCGAGGACTTTGTCGAGGTCTGCAAGATCAATTTTGAAAGTACATAAATAAATAACTTAAAATTTTAAGAAATAGTATTGGCTTTATTTTGAGAGTTTGCTATTGTTTTAAAGACAATCGTGTAGCCAACACTATTTTAAGTGCTTAAAAATATGAACTATCCGAATACTATGACACTTGCACGAGTTAAATCAAAGAGCTATATTAATATAATTTATGATGCAACATACATATTACAATATACAAACATACTTAACACTATTTTCCCTACTTTTGCTAAGATTTTACTTCCATCAGCCCGTATTCTCTTCGTATTAACTGGAAATTATTTATCAATTAACTCAGGTTGTTGTTGTTTTATAATTCGCTTACGACTTAGCAATGGTGAATCGTTATCATCCAACGAACTAAGTGCAACGACAAGGCCCGTGTCCCAAAATTAAAAAAAAAAACACAGGAAAAATATGATGATACTTATTCAAAACATTATTTAACGTTACAGGAACATACAATAGGCAACTATATATATTGGTGGACCATCCTTCCTTCCCCTTCCCCGCAAAAAACAAACAAACTATTTATCATGTATATATATAGCACGGATTTATATTGTCAATTAAAGTCCGTGGTTCAGGTCACGATTGTATAGAACTTAACACCATATATACCATCAGATGACTACGTTAAAGTACCACATATCCACTTTATATATATTTCTTCATATACATATGTAATAGCGCTAGTTAATTGTTAACGTTGTCCTTACAATCATCAGCAGCAGCAGTAACAGCATATCGACCCATTAATCTCTCTTCTCGCTAGAATGTCATGCATGGTGCTAGTTCATGGTAGTAATTGTTGTACATATATAGTGTAGAGGTAGCTAGTGTAACTGTTCAAGTGGTGGTGCTAGAGGCAGATGGTGGCGGTAGTAATAATTTCTATAAGGGTTAAGGTAGCAACAGAAGCAGCAGTTAGCTACAGCTGCAGTATATGCACTGTAGTTGTCTATGTACTGCACAAATACATGTACTTCTAATGCTATAAATATAAATTACAACTGCTTTCTTGCTACCACTAACACGGCTACCACAACTGTTGCATGAATATAACACACTAGTTAGAACGATTGCTGTATTGTATTTGGTATATGAATGCATTTATGCCATGCTAAATTGGACAATAGACTTATTAACTTTTATCCAATGAAAATCGATGTTAATTTTCTAACTTTCAGTCTTATCAAACATCAAGGTTGCGTTTCATTGAAAGTCCTATAAGTCTTAGATTAGTCCAAAGAGCAAACCTAGCTGAGACATTTTTGCATTTCAAACAAAATGACCTAACCTTGTATGACATCTCTGTTATGACTCGATAAAATGCCGAATAGCAATTTAACTTTGCCATGATAGTGTTCAATTTTATACTTTACTATAAAAAGTAAATCAAGAATCCATGTGACCGACGGAAATTTCTATTAATATCGTTCAGAACGTATTGGTAATGCTCAAGTCTTTAACACAGAGAGAGAGGCCGTCTTTTTTATAATTTAGGCAATTGTTATATTGTATCAGAAACTTTTTCATAATCAATTATTGTTCATTGTGAATTTTAAATATATTACTAACTTGACAGCGAGAAAATGAGCATTATGTCTGAGAACAAATTTAATTTAAGTCTTATGTTTTTAACTTAAGATAATCATTTTTATTAATTTTAATTAAAACTATCCTACGATTGTCCTCAAATTGGTCTTATGTCCTACTACTTAGATACACTGAGGACTTGGGATACACTCGCAATCCTGGTCAGTTACCTATGTAGGCCTAATTAATATGATATAACGGCGTTTTTGGTATGATGCAAAAATGCCAAACTAGCGTTGCTATATTTTTACGTATACATGACCGTCATATATTATTCTACACCTGTTTAATAGAACCCACATGATGAGATTGGTTATCACGAGCCAAAGAACCGGTGCTGAACACATGATTTTGTCTGTAATTTAAATTAATTGTTTACGTGTTGTCCTTTTAAGACCCCAAATATCTTAATGCATAAATAAACAAGTACATACTAGACACTTGTTTAGCGTTATATACTTGTATAGAAGCTGAAATAGTCATTTTCTATGCGTGTAAGACGATCTTGAAGGCATGACTAAAACCTTCCTAATGATTAATCTGGAAAATTGGCATTCCAGGAAATGACCTCAGTCCGCGAAGACAGTGTATTGAAATGAATAAATCTTCATTCGTAATGTTTTGATGTAAGATGAACTGTGTCAGAGTTACACCTAGCACGTCAAGTATCTTAAATGGACTTGTACATCTTTCAATATGGATAAAACCATTTATAACTTTTAGGGAAAATTTCATTTTTTTACTAAATAACGAACCGTACAAATCAAAGAGACGACATATTTATGTCTGACTTTGGTCCTGCACTGGTTGCATGGGTAGTCTGCTAGTGTCTACAGGCTTAAGGTTTAGCACAAGAATCTCTCCGTGATTAACACAATGCAACAAATAAAGACATGATATCATTTTTTATTGACATGAAACAAACAATTATATACATGTATATCTACAAATACAACATTTTATGACCACACAAACGGCACAACACTCTTTTGTAGACGTTTTATCATCCAGTGCATTTGTGCACGATCTCCTTTTGATATAAAATGGAAATAATATATTTTGGGATGAAATCGAAAATTTGTACATATAAATTTAAAAATACACATCCGCCTGGATCCAAAGATATTATCCGTAAGATAATAAAAATGGGTTTATCTTTTTTGCTTATTAAGCTCGACTCTGCTTGGTAGCAGAATGGGTAAAAATTTGGACTTGTATAAGAGTTCTGAACAGTCACTAATGAGATTGACGATACAGTTCTTTAGTTTACTATGTATAATCTTTAGTTTGGCATAAACTGCTTTGAAAAGACAAAAAATAACAATCAAAAATATTATTTATTATAAAATGTTTGAAGGGTTTAAATTTGTGAATGCGGTGTTAAAAGTATATGTAAAAACAAAAGGTTTCCGAAAGGTCAAGATTTCACAACCCAGCATCCTAGACCTCTGCGTTGTTATAAAACTTTTAGAGATTTTTTCGCCAATTTTGTTCGTTTATTGGCTTGCTACAGACAGACACCCGGACCTTTCCTACGAAAAGGGCATGTGTAGCATTATATAGCATTACAATATCTTCTACCATTTCATTTCTAAATACATTGTATTTATTCTGAATTCCACTTCACTAGCACGCCAACTTTCATCTCTACAATTAATGCCACGAAAAATATAAAATATATTCTTTGACTAGGATTATATTAAGTTATATGGTTATTCTTTTCTCTATTTCAAACATTTTGACATAATACACAAACAAAAAATAGCAAACATACATTTTCACTATAAAGGAACTCTGCTGAGGTTCATAAAAATTCACTCAGAAAGTATGCGAAAGATAATCAGAAATAAATTGAAAATCATATTTTTCTGCTATTCTTAGTGCGCTTTGAGTGAAAAACGTTACAACGCTTTTTAATTTTGGATTATTTTTCACAATTATTATTAGAAAAAAATACTCTGGAAAAAATGATCTGAAATTTTTCACACAAGTTGGTCTAGACATTATTAATGTCGAAAAATTAGTTCCAGTCCCGTCATGTCAAAAAAACCTCAGTGGCGTCCCTTTAAAGTAAGCAGACAATAGTGAAAACAGCTGCACATTAACGATGGACAACGGCAAAGGAACACATATTATTATGCAATATTTTGAGTATATATGGTAAATTAGAAAGTGTATATATACTATAACTAAATCAAAATATAAAGAAATAAAAGTCACTAAAACTCTATATGTCTCCGAGGCTGAATGAGTCATTTATATGTGCACGTGGTATTCGAAAATGCTCTTGTTTGGGAAGAGGCATCGTTTTGTAGTCTGTCGTTTTTGCTCTTCTCTTGAGAGTGATACAAGAGAGCAAGAAGCAGGCGACAAGCAGAGCAAACACCGCTGTTCCAAGAACCGCGACTACCGCTGTTACTTCTTCGTGAGCCAAACATTTTTCGAATGAGTTCAAATCCTCAGATGCTGAAAATGAAAAAAGGTTGGTAAACGAGTTGCCCAATATACAGACGGAAATGAACAATAAGTTGAGGAAGAAACAGTTATTAATTTTTAATTTCATGTGTCAAATATATAAATATTTGAATATGATTATTTCATGAACTATAAATGCACCCATGTTCTTTTTAAGATGCATGCACTTTGTCAGTAATAGGTAAACATTTGGGATAAACATCACAAAGATACCGGTATACGACGCTCATCGAGATAAGATTCAGTATGATGAATGGGAATGGCGAGCAGTGCTCAATAAACATAACGGGATAAAGAGATACATCAACTGCCAAACGGACATATGACTGCCAGTGAAACAAAAATGTTTCTGTTTTGTTCTCATTCATTGCTTCTTTTGTATTCCATCCTTTGGGTTACGGCGAAAATTATAGCCACCAAATACTTCGACGGTTAGTTTAGTTTCATTCAAATAATGAATAATGCTACAAGGAAAGTAAGGCTCAGTGAATTAAGTCATGATTTAATTGATAATGATTAGTTAACTAGTTGAAATCACAGGCCCTATCCATGGCAAATGGTAGGTTATAGAAAATCAACGCTAATTAAAAGTCTTGTCACTGCGGTCTAGAAAAATCCTCGGCTACTTTGGTGCCAAAACAAAACCACCATATTGACCACGCACAGACGAAAGGTAAATATTTGGCTCATCAGTGAATAATGTTTACAAAGTAAGTAATTTACTCAGTGAAGGATGAACATAGTATGCAATAGTTGTGTTCATGAAGTCAGCAATGTCTTTTTATTAACGTTCAATTAAGGAATGCCCTTTATACAGTATGACCTTCTACCGTTGCTTTTTGTTTCGCCTGCCATACAGCCAACCTCTTACCAAACAAAATAAAGAGGAAAGTATGTTTTGTACCTGTCAGTCTGCTTTGTCTGTAACCATAAGGATCAACTACTGTAAGCACAGTTGACACTATTGCCTCTTCCTCAACCTTATCGTCACCAGCAGCTCTTCTCTTCCTTCTGATAACCGGTGTCTCGGTAGGGGTCTCCACGGGTGTTTCAACAGGTGTTTCTACTGGGGTTTCCACCGGAGTCTCTACTGGAGTTTCTACTGGCGTCTCTACTGGGGTTTCTACTGGGGTTTCTACCGGTGTTTCAGTAGGAGCATTAACAACTGGCTGAGCATTTGGATCTTGATTCATAACTTCATTACAATTTGGTGGCTTTAACAGAATGGTAATATTTATTGTAAACTCTTTATATTGTATATTTTAAATGATCATTAATTACACCACTTTACAAATTAAGGTAAGAATATGAACAAAACATTCTACAAACTATGGAATTTAAATTGTTTCGTTCTGTTTATTTTATTTTTGTACAAATGCATATCCCTTGCTGTAAAAAAAAATCGCTTAAAGGGTATAAATGTGAAATTTTACGAACATCATCACTTCTTAACTTTTAAAATATACAAATCAGTATACTTTCCAACTTACAACTTGACAACTCGTGTCGCCTGGTTTGCAAACCTTTGCGGAGCAGACGATACCTATGTTGCTTGAATCAACAAACTTGAAAGCCTCGATTGATAAAACTTTACCACTTGTTTTCACAGGCGTTCCGTCGGGTAAAGTTGTATCATACATTTTGACCACCTGACCTGGGGTCAGACGTTTACTTTGCTTTGTAGGACATCTAAAATATTGAAGAAATAATTAATCAGGAATTAAATTGCTGAAAAGGTTAAAACTCAATGACTTCTTTATCAAATATCTATATAAGTTTTAGCACTATCTAATTCTAGCACTACGGTATCTAAGTCAGTTTTAACACTTTCTATTTAACTAAGCTTTAGTGCAGTTTTAGCAATATCTAAGTTCTAGCACAATCTATTATATCGTTATGAGTTAAAGCAAGTTATTCATCTTTCAGTTTTACCTAACTAACGTTTAACATTTTAGCACCATTTAACTAACTTAAGCACACTTACTTAAGCACTGTCAATTTGACTTTTAGCACTTTTACGTGGATTTTCTCTTTCTAAATATTCTATGAAGAAAGATTAAAATCTTAAATATCATCGATAATAAATTGCCTGCCTGTCTGTATGGTGTAACTTTGTTTAGAGAAACTAAAAAGTATAAACTTTTTTAATATCCAGTGTTATGTACAACACATGACATTTTTGTTTGAGTTTATTTGTTTTGAATTATTCATTTTGAATGTTTTGTTTGACAAACCATGTCCCGTTATTTATAAACTGTTCAGATGTAAATTTCGAAATTCGAAATGTCAAACGTGTTATGAATTATAAATGTTCATATATGTTTATATCCGTTGCTACTAGCTGCCCCATTCACACAACAAGCGTTTACAAAGAGAGTGGAAAATATGTTGAGTCTAAAGACCTTACCCCCTGTCCAACACAACAAATGTTTTCTGGTCAGTATTTTCCAGGGTGTTATTGGTGGAACATCGTTCGATTAAGACATCATTAAAAGCTGAAAAGTAAAAGAATATGTTCCATCATGAAATGTTAAAAAAATAAGAAGTATTTTTTAAATAAATACTCGTCTTTAGATATTTTGCGCTATTATTGTGTCGGTTTTGCATTATTTCTAAGTCAGAACAGATTGTTATTTATTGATTATGCTGAGCCAATAAGAAAGAAGGCCTTAACCATTTGCTCACACTATTTCCGAAGTTAGAGCGAATTGTTAGCCTGATCATATAATGTTTGAACTTTCATTATATTCATTTTTACTTTTAATGTGAAATATATTTTCGTATGCATAAATATTTCTGCCTCTTTTCAGTAGAATGATTTATTTTGTGTAAATTTGCCATTAGTTACTTACAGTAGAAGGAAAATGTCGCCAAAAGACAAAAAAAAATTCCCAAACAGTGACAGGATTTAATGATGCTTTCACTCTTTAAAATGCTGAGAAAAAAAAACGTATTGCCTAAGAAATTGCATGTTATTAAGTATTAAAATACTGTAAACTTATGAGATTTATAGTGGTTTTTCAGTTACCACATGCAGTCACAAGTAAAAGATAGTGCAGAACATAATGATTATCATCAAAATTGCCATCACCATTATCATAGAAAAAAAACAACAACAACAAGTTACCTAATTCGTCAGTTAGATAGACATGAAGTTGGAAAACGTCCCCGACGAATAATTGGGTGTCAGGAGCCAATGGGTTACCCAGATCATCTAACACCGACAACTCTACAGGGCTGTACGTCTCATTAAAATCTGACTGTGTCAAATTCTCACTGAAAATGATTAAGTAGACAGCATGTTAGCCATTACGAATGCATTTGAAATATCTAGCGAAGCATAAGGTGTATATCTTTCAAAGTAAGATCGTGGATTCGAGCCCTGCTCGGGTCAGGACCATAGTACTTCATATGATACTATTCTGGTTATAGTTCCATGAATAAATGTAAGTTGAATTTAGAATCTATTTCAAAATTGAGCTAAAAATCAAACTTAACCTTGACTGTGAAATAACGAAGAAAAATACACCTTTGTATACTAAATAATGATTTTTTTTGTCGAATTAGTTTCTAAATACATTGTATTTGTTATACTGTTTAAGACTTCACATGTGATTCCTTTAAAAATTCTAGTAGCTTGGAAAACTGTGCTACGCCGTGTTACTATCATTTGAATAGTCGGACTAATATAATTAGTTATTAATTTTCTTGTCATGCCCACTTTTAAAACTTTAAAATAAGAAATACAGATCAGAAAATAAGAATTTCTATACAGGCTTTGTATCGGAATAAAATAGAAAATGATTTAAAATTGTATACACGTGAGGAACAATTTTCTTAATGATTTAATTGAAAGTGTTTAGCTTTATATATAAATTTGGATCATCCACAATACTGAGATATGTGAATCAATTGTAATTCAGAAATAAAAATGAAATAAAGGTAAGAATTTGCATACTTGACCATTCACAATACTGAATTATGTAAAACAATTGTAATTCTGAAAAAAAATATATAAAGGTAAAAATTTGCATACTTGACCACGTCCAGATTTGTGAAGGACTGCGATAATTGGATATCAGAACTCTCGTGAGAACACGTCAGGTTGTATATCTCATCAAGCGACGTTGTCACCATTTGTAAATAATTCACTTGAAATAGTCCAGAATATTCCGTGTCCCCTGTCTGCAAAATGAATGTACATTATTTGTTAACGTGTATTTTTTGTTCTTTTTTGCGAAAAAAGCATGAGTGATATATCTGTTCTGTAGTCAGAAACTTGTCAGGTTGTAGTCAGAAGCTGGTTAGATTGTGATCAGAAACTGGTTAGATTGTGATCAGAAACTGGTTAGCTTGTGATCAGAAACTGGTAAGATTGTGATCAGAAACTGGTTAGATTGTGATCAGAAACTGGTTAGATTGTGATCAGAAACTGGTTTGATTGTGATCAGAAACTGGTTAGATTGTGACCAGAAACTGGTTAGATTGTGGTCAGAAACTGGTTAGATTGTGGTAAGAAACTGGTTAGATTGTGATCAGAAACTGGTTAGATTGTGGTAAGAAACTGGTTAGGTTGTAGTCAGAAACTAGTTAGATTTTGATCAGAAATTGGTTAGGTTGTGATTAGAAACTGGTTAGACTGTGATCAGAAACTGGTTAGATTGTGATCAGAAACTGGTTAGATTGTGGTCAGAAACTGGTTAGATTGTAGTCAGAAACTGGTAAGATTGTAGTCAGAAACTGTTTGATCGTGGTCAGAAACTGGTTAGACTGTGATCAGAAAATGATCTACAAATGGTCATATTATGACAAAAAAGACGTCGGAAAATGTTCATGTCCTATTATTTTGCCGACGTCAGAATGCGACGTTGATAGGACGTCCATTGTTTGCTAGAGAAGTTCTACTATGATTGCAAACATTTTGTAAACAATACATTTGTTATATAGCAATTGCAAACTGGATATGGTTTCAAAAATGTTTGTCATAAAACCTAAACTTTAACAAACGCACCAAATTTTATTCTACATACATGTATGTAAATGTATAATCAAGATACCGGTATGTACTGATGTAATGACATTCGATGATAATATATCTTCTTTCAGTGAAAACAGGTGTCAAATGAATTGATCAATACTACTTTAATATGTTCTTTATATTTCGGAATAATTAAAAATGATAAATGAAAACGGACTACCTCTATTCACCATTATGAATATTTCTATGCATTTACGTATATATTGATGCATCACAGTTCAATAGGTTAAATAAATGTAGGTGGTATATGCAAATAAAGTAAAGCAATATTAAGTACCTCAAGATCTGTGACAGTCTCGATATTTGTCATATTGCATCCAGCCTCGTTTCCAGAGATATCGACCTTGACCGAGTATGACTTCATGTTTAGTTCATTGTCGTCCGTTTCTTTCAAAACACACTCGGGTGCATCACTGAACATTTGGACTGTGCCAGCAAAGTATGTTGGAAATGTCATTTTAAAATCTACCGTATTTCCTTCACAGTCTATGACCACTGCAAAAGAAAAACATGTATATATATAGGAGCTTATCTTTCGTTTTCAATGGGTTTTTTGTATTTTCTGATCGCAAGATCAGTAAATACAAAGCTAACATCTACGGTCTAACACAAAATTTCCTTACATACCTAACAACGCAAAGTAGTTCTCACTCAAAACTGATTAAAAACCAGCAATTTAAAAGAAAGAATAATTTTTAATGTAGGTATTTAACGAATTACAGTGCATTAAAAGTTTAGATTAGTCAATAGAAATATGAGGTTACAATCACAAATTTCGCGGATGAGTATCTTTTTTTACCCAATGAAAAATGTTCGGCTATTTCCGTAAAGCTTAATCAATGAAAATGCTATTTTTAGCTATGTCGATTACCGTAGTACACAAATAAATCTGACTGTCGAGTAGTGGAATATATACATGCCGGACTGTTTCGGCGAAATTATTTTCATCAGTGTTAAACAACAGGTTTATCGTGAACAAAATACCTCGAAATTAATAAGGATTACAAACGCGAAATAGAAACTCTCAATTTAGAATTATAATTTATTTGTTTTTATTCAAGCTGCATATGTATTACTTCACCGTGGTGCAGAGGTAGCGCGCTCGTTTAGGGTGTGAGAGGCATAATGTTCAAATCCTAGTCGAGGTAACTTTTTTGAAGTGTCTTTTTAAGGAAGTAGCTACGATATGCAAGGATAAAGTGTGGCTGTCATAAAAAATGAAAAATGATTTTTTGATACAACTCTAGTCATGCAAAATTCCATATGTATCAATCTCAAACTGTTATAGAAAAAAATCTAAACGCAGTCGCTGCGTAAGATGAATTATAGTATATAAAAATAAACTTATACAGGAAAATACATGCAGATAGTCAGTATGACTTAGATTGCAAAGATCAGAAAATACCACAGAGCTTGCAGCCCTTTGATTTTATCATGGACTGTTTATTTTGTTTTATGATTTTTTGGGGGGATTCCATATCTATGCAAATGCTTTGAAACAAATTCAAACTGTAATATTAAGTTTCAGTAGATTCATTAACATCGTCACCATCATCATCATCACCATCATCATCATCACTATTATCATCAACAACAACGACAACGAAAATAAAAGCAAAATTCTATGGGTTCCAAATAAGCGTTTACATTTGTAAATTTCTTTGCAAATATGATGGTTTATCTTTTATCAACACATATAAGGAATAGTTTTGATATTTAGTGATTTCAAAAATACGTGAAGTTAGACTCTAGTTAACGTTGTAAGGCAGTAAATTTAGTGGCCCCCGTAGGCTGACACTATCTCTTGAGAATACTGAGTACTCGTGTGGGATATTGACCCAGACCTATTCGATGTCAAACTGACTAACACATATGTAATATTTTCTCTGATTTGTGTGACCAAGACCAAGACAAAGAAATTTTAACTTATTTTGAACAACCCTATGTGCAGACTGCAGCTTTTACACTGACTAACTATATGTTTTCTTTAATTAATTCATTTTAAGTTAATATATTTTTTTAAAAGAAGAACGTACATGAAACTTATTCAAAAACCAGTCTTTACAAAATATCATACACTTGTATTATTAACTTCCTAATTCTGGAAATTGTCAAACAGTTCCCTAAGGTCATCTGAGAAAATACTAGAATCAGATAAAGATGTTTTCACCTTATTCCGATCAAAATAAAGAATGAAAACTGGACTGAATACGGTTGTTTTTAATTCTCACACGACCTTTTCAGGTAGCGGACTTTATTGTTTTGCGATAGGCTTTATCGATTTGTAAACACTTTTTTTAATTTTGTAACCCTTCCGACAGGGACAAAAATTGTTATTTATTCATCTTAAAAAACTGTTATTCATTGTCTAAAAATACGTAAAATCAAACTATTGTGACACATTAAGGTGTTAGCACTTCCCATTGTCGGCTATTAATGTGATAATTTGTATATAAAAGGACTTCCAAAATAGTTATTTATCAGAGCGGGCGCCGTGGTGCAGTGGTAACGCTGTTTGACTACGAATCAAGGGGTCGCAGGTTCGATCCCCCGCTACTCCACTAAAATTACTAACAAACACTGTCACACTACACTACTCACACATAGCACATTACTCACAGACTTATACTCACACATTTCTCACAGTACACTACTCACACATAGTACATAACTCACACACAGAACATAACTCACAGTACACTTATCACACACAGATCATTACTCACAGTACACTACACACATACAGAACATAACTCACAGTACATAACTCACACATAGAATATAACTCACACACAGAACATAACTCACAGTACACTACACACACATAGACCATAACTCACAGTACACTACTCACACATAGAACATAACTCACAGTACACTACACACACACAGAACATAACTCACAGTACACTACACACACACAGAACATAACTCACAGTACACTACACACACACAGAACATGACTCACAGTACATCACAGTACACTACTCACACATAGAACATAACTCACACACAGAACGTAACTCACAGTACACTACTCACGCATAGTACATAGCTCACACACAGAACGTAACTCACAGTACACTACTCACACATAGAACATAACTCACAGTACACTACTCACACATAGAACATAACTCACAGTACACTACTCACACACAGAACATAACTCACAGTACACTTCTCACACATAGAACGTAACTCACAGTACACTACACACACACAGAACGTAACTCACAGTACACCACTCACACATAGAACGTAACTCACAGTACACTACTCACACATAGAACATTACTCACAGTACACTGCACACAGTCATACAGAACGTAACTCACAGTACACTACACACACATAGAACATAACTCACAGTACACTACTCACACATAGAACATAACTCACAGTACAGTGACACTACTCACACACAGATCATTACTCACAGTACACTACTCACACTCAGAACATAAAGCACGGTACACTACACATACATTACTCACAGTATATATTCACACACAGAACATTACTCACGGTACACTACACACACATATAGAACAGTAGTCATAGTACACTACTCACACATAGAACATTTCACACGGTACACTACACAAACATAGCGGTTACCTGTTTTATTCTCGCATCTTTTCCCGACGAAACCATAGGGACAAGCACACAGATCTGCTGTTCCATCATTGTAACATACCCCTTCATTCTGACAAAAACCTGCCTCAGCCGTGCAAGCTGTCGCCGTAGCTGTTGTGTCCAAAAGCATAGAATGTAATAAATTGAGATGTTGTATTTAAAAACGAACGAACAAATCAAACAATAAATCAATCAATTGATAAGTATATAATTCAACAAATGTCTAAGCGATGTATTATCCTAGAAAAGACAGATGTACTATTTAGTTGCTGGAAAAAAAAAGAAACATCAAGTCTTATTTTCTTAATATAATGTAACTCTGCAAAGCCAATTCCTCAGATAAACTTGTATTTATCAGTAATTATATAACAAAAACATAAAAAGGGAAGATCAACAAGGGGGAAAACATCCCTCGCAGTACTCAGACAAACATGACCATCGATAATGCATCCAGCAAGGCAGAATGGCGGACCAAGAAAGGAGTGTACGAAATCAGTTTTTATTGTCTTCTTTTATCACAATATTTATTTAGATACTCTCTTTTATCCCTGCTTGTATGGCTTTTTTTCTTCTTTTTTTATGTATCAAAGGATATTTGATCACCGACTTCTCAAATTTAGGCATTATTTACCCGTGTCATAGCCACAGTTGTAGCCTCCAAAGGTTCCTTTACACGTGCAGTCATTCTCTACGCACGTGCCTCCATTTTGACAATCTTCCATCCTCCGACAGTCATATTTATATTGGCACTTTACTGAAATATACAATAAATTTATATAAAAAACGCAACAAATGTTTTTATTACTTCAATCACGCGACATCTTTGGCAAGTTTCATTTTTAAAACCCACAAACCTAATCGTCTGCAGGATAAGACTTACAGACAAGCTCTTAAATAAACGGGAACATCTGCCCGCATAAAAAACGAAACCAATTTGAATAAATATACAAAAACGTTTTATAACAATATCATGAAAATCGACATAGACTTGAACTTATTGCAATTTAGTCTTGCTCAATTACAGTATATTAATAACGACAAAAACAGTAACAACAAAAAAGCAACATCATAAATTAAAGTTCCATGGCGCTTATAATAATAGGTATTTAACCTTTATGCCCAGTCCGCGTCAAAACACCTACTTAAACTTCATAATGACATACCGATTTGGATTTTTCATTGCAAACAATTTTGCAAAACAACGACGAAAAAACTTTAGGAGCATGTTATAAATGATGAATGAATTCATTAAATTAATGATGTAAATAATTATCTGGTGACTCTTTAAAGTTTATATTCTATACTACAACGTACAAATTTAGTATAAAATTTCTCATGTTTCGAAAGTCAGATTTATCATTCAATATTAGGGTTATTAATTGCATACTGTATTTTAATAATATAGTAATAACAATATAAAAACAAAGGTCTCATATGCACATATACAGAAATCGCCTCTTAATAAAGTTTTTATTATTAAAATCTTTTAAGATACTGTCTCATAGAAAATATAAATGCAATTTCATTTTACTCTATGAAAAAGTCATTTGCCAAAATAATTCATATATCTAAAAATACGTATTTACATGTACACTTTATACAGCAAAAGAACAAAATGCCGGTCTATAAAACGACCATGTCACGCGGAAATCTCCCAGTCATATTCCTTGACCTAGCGCTTTGTGCTTTATATTATCGTAAAAAAGAACACTTATGTAATTTCCAATTTTCAACGGAATCACACACTTAGTGTTTTAACGGTTGGCATTAGAAAATGGTATTTTTACCAAAAATTGTACACTTTATATAGAAAATGAAAAAATGGCCGGTCCAAAAAACGAAAAAAAAAAAAAACCTATACAACGGGAATATATCTGGACCATATTCCATGGCCTAGAGCTTTGTGCCTTATATAACTGTAAAGATGAACATCCAAACTGATACAATTTCCAATTCGAATTTTAACGGAATAACACAAAATTAATGGTGTTTGAACGGTTGGCATTAGAAAATGGTGTTTTTTACAACAAAAAAAATGTACACTTTATATAGAAAAAAAATAAATGGCCGGTCAAAAAAAAAAAAAAACAACCATACCACTGGAAAATATCTGCTTTGTGTCTTATAAGACTGCAAAGAAGAACATCCAAACTAATATCATTTCAAATTTACAGCGGAATCACACAAACGGTGTTTGAACGGTTGGCATTAGAATATGGTGTTGTTTTTTTTTACCAAATATTGTACACTAAATTTAGAAGGTGAACAAGTGCCCGGTCAAAAAAAAAAAAAACGACCATACCACGCGGAAATCTCTGGGTCATAGTATTTGACCTAGAGCTTTATGCCTATATTACTATCAAGAAAAACCTCTAAACTGATACAATTTCCAATTTTCAACGAAATCACTGAAATGATGTTTTAACAGTTGGCGTAAAAATGGTATTTTTTACCAAAAATTGTACACTTTATACAGAAAATGAACAAATGGCCGGTCCAAAAAACGAACATCCCAGGTAATATTCTTTGGCCTAGAGCTTTATGCCTTATATACCTGTAAAGAAGAATCTCTTAACTGAAACAATTTTTAATTTTCAACGGAATCACACAAATGGTGTTTTAACGATTGGAATTAGAAAATGGTGTTCTTTTTTCCCCAAAAATCGTACATGTATATATGTAATACGACCGTTGAACTTCACTAATTAAAAGCATCATAATATGCAACTCACATATTAAAATAAAAAAAAACTTTGAGAATGCAGTGATCCCGAAGGCTACTTTAACAACAACAACGAAATTAATAAACATTGACAAAAACAACAGTAACAGTATTAAAAGCTAAAACAAAAATTACTACATCGAAAGTACCAAATTGCGAACAAGACAAAAATAACCAATTAAACCGCACTCTACAACAATCATGATGACTAAAACACACAGCAGCACAACAACGGCAAAAATAGCTAGCTAACACAACACCAACACAGTAATAATCTCAGCAGCCATAACATAGAAGAAATTGGCAACAACAACAACAACAACAGCAGCAGCAACAACCCCGGCAACAGTAACAGTCTCGGCTATAACACAGTAGAAGCATTGGCAACAACAACAGCAGCAGCAACAACAACAACACCGACAACAGTAGCAGTCTAGGCTATATTTGCAACAACAGCAACAACCCCGGCAAAAAACAGTTTCAGCCGTGACACAGTAAAAGCATTGCTTAAAGATGCAACAGCAACAACCACGGCAACAGTAGCAGTTTCAATCATAACACAGTAGAAGCAATGGCAACAACAGCACAGCAACAACACCGACAACAATAGCAGTATTGGCCATAACACAATAGAAGCATTGTCAACAACAACAACAACAACACATTTTGGGATAGTGCTGTGTGGAAAACACACAAACAACCCCAGCAACAATAGCAGTCTCGGATATAACACGGTAGAAGCATTGGCAACAGCTGCAGCAACAACCCCAGCAACATTAGCAGTTTCAGTCATAACACAGAAGAAGCATAGGTAACAACAACAGTAACCAGTTTTCTTCTTATTTATCAATCCATTAGGCAATAACACAAGACAAGAATTTGCAAACTACTGCATTTTTTATTGTTTTGACATACATTGTAATGATTTATAATGACTGCATAGGTTATAAACGCCTAAAATTGTGATAAATTGGTGTCATTTATTATATGTTTCTCCACTTGTTTTAACCTAGTTCATAGTTTCGGAAGCTTCTTGTCTTTCACTCTTAATATATCACTATATTTTTGCAATCATCACTTAATTCAACTAATAATTATTACAAGTTGAATGTGTAAAAAATGCTAGAGTCAGCACTTTGACTTAACGGAATTAAGGCTAATTGAGTATTAAATTACACTGAAGAACATTTTTTTAAATTTAAGATTACAGATAGTGGAGTTTTATAGGTCAATTTAATTATCACAAAACATTATTTACTGTAACAATCATACGAGAATATTTACATTACTGAACACATGAACTTTATCATATCATTATCCAGAATAAAGAAAAGGATGCATTTCAGACAGATAAAATTTAGCCGTTATCACTTTTCAGTGCTGGAAAGTCACAAGCAAAATTGACTGCTTGGTAGATGATGAGACTATGACTTAACCTTTGTAAATGCAATTAAACCTCTGCAAAGCGACCGGTTACAGAACATAACTCATTTTAACACCTACGATATGGATTGTCCCCAAAGTAACATTTCCCAACAAAGCCAACCTCCCTAGAACAACATTATTCATTTTGTGCCCTAAAGGGTGTTGATTTAAAGAGTTTTGCAGGCTAAGATTGAACACTACTTGAACATCGCTAGTCTGTCATGGACAAATAAATACTTTCCCCTCCGTATTCTTTAAGCTTTATGCAAAGGTTCCTTTATTTCAGATTTTTTACAGATCAAAGTATGTAAAGATAGTGTGAATCTGATGGGCCAGATATAGTATTCCGAAACTGGACTTAAATCAAACTTATCAGAGTAACTCATGCAAGAATTCATAAAATATAACTGGAACTTAATCCTTCAGAGACAAAAAAAGGCATGTACCAAACGTGTCATGATTTGAGAGTTCTATTGATCCATATGAAAAGAGGATGTGATATGAAGTCTTGATGTTTTGCAGTAACATCTTTTTGTCTTTATTATACTTACATCGTTGGATTATGATTAATGCTTTGTCTTTCATATATACATTGTACAAATGAATTAAATGTTAACCTTTAAACCCTCTAACTTATTAAATCTTAAAATATTATTAACACTTGTCTAATGTCGATATAAATAGACAATATGACGTGACAAAATCAAGAAATGCTTTTAACCCACCTTGATCTGCATTAAAACGCAATTAATATGAATTTGTTGAATAAATTAAATATATAAATATCGAGGATAGGGGACAGATATCAGACCGCATAATTTAACAACCATCGAGATATATTTGATATTAGTCAATATTATTTATTTATTCAATATCGCAGACGCAAGTTTCGAAATAATTGAACTTTCTGTGCTTCTTATTCAACTTATTTGCTACAACAACAAAATTTGCTATGTAAATGCAATACAAATTACATTCTTATCAAATATGAGTAAACACAAATAACGTCATGCTTTTGTTTTGGAGGGGAGGGGGTTTGCATATTTGTAAGAAGATTTTAATATTGCCATATACGTCAAACATATTAAACCTTTGTTTTATTTACATGCATGTTACGGAAACAAGGTCGGCTTATTAACTTATTATACCTTTTGTGCTATGACACGTCTCGTCTGATAATATAATTATGTTGAATAACTGTTCAATGATACAGAATTATGTTTGCTATTTGGTTAAAATGTAGATCAATATTTATTATACATGTATAATAGCGATAGGGAAAATTGAAAAATGATATTTTATCATGACATTGCAATATCTTGCCAATTTGTAAATCTTGGATACATTTACCAGTGATTAAGGTATCAGAAGTGATATCGCCAATGGGTTATATTGAATATTTTTATAAATCAAGATGATTTAGATTAAATATTTTACCAAAAGGTTATATTGAATATCAGTAATCAATATGACAGAAACTACATATTTAACCAGTAGGTTATATTGAATAAAAGCAATCTAAATGACAGCATTTTGAATTTTATCCTATAACTTTGATTGAATATCTGTAATCGAGGTGACAGAAGATATTTTGACCAATATTAGATATTAGATTAATTAATCAAGATGATTGAGGTTATATTGAATATCAGTAATCAATATGATTGAAAATAATTGGTTAAGCAATAAGTAAATTAAATCTTGAAAATTACAGCAACTAGATATTTTTACCAATAGGTTATATTTAATATCAGTAATAAAAATGAGAGAATGAAATATTTTAACAATTATTGGTAATAATGAATATCAGTTTTCTAATGACAGAAATAAAAACGGTTAACCATTAGGTAATGTTGAATATCCGTAATATAATAATATAATTGAAATATTTTTAGGTAATAGTGAATATCAGTAACAACCAAATATCAGAAATGAAATATTTTTACCGTTAGGTAAAACTGAATATCAGTAACCAGATGTCAGAAATAAAATATTTGGGTATGGTGATGTTTAGTTAATTAAAGTCGGATAACCCTATACTAGTGATCTTCTCATTGGCTTATAAGCCTAATGTAAGTAAATGATTTAATCTTAGAGCTATTATATTAATACCTCTGTTAGGCTAAAAATAATAATTCAGCGGTATATATCATTATACACTATAAACATGTTATATTGCAAACATTTAAAGTAATATACAATTATGTACTATTGTCGATAGTTAATTCTTACAATATACTTCTGATTCATGACAGAATGTTCATTTTCAATATCTTAATCTTTCTAGAAAACAATCGAGATATATATGTATTAAGCTAGTTATAATCGTGCTGTATTGTAATATTTTAACACATAATAATTGTTATAATTTATGTAAATTTCAATTTATCACCACGTTTGTAATCAGCCAATAATTATGCGAGACTTGTGGTTAAGCACCACTAAATTTTCGTGAAATAATCTGAATGATGTCAATGTCTCAATCAAATTCAATTGTTTATCTTTGTTCGAAATTGTAGGAAGTTATAAGCTTATTTATAAATACTCTCTCGAATACGTCCCTGGACAAACCAGTACTGGGCAATGATTCTAGTACAGTTTCCAGCTCAAGGAAGCAATTCAGCCAGTATTGGCTTAGACATCAGCAAAAGCTCGTAAGTTCAGTCCTAAAATCATTGCAAATGATTTATTCAAAATGACAATATTTGTGACAAGATTATTGTCCTTTAAGAAATTATACGACTTTTAGGGCCGCCACACAGCAGTGATCTCAGGGCATTAAATTACAATTCGGAATATATAGAAATGTTTCGTTAAATCAAATGATAGTCTAAATTCGAAACAAGATCGACGGAAATGAAGAAAGAAAAGCGCTTGTTCATATAACAGTTCAATAAGAAAACAATTTATTGTTAAATTTACAATATCATACAATGTCAAAGAAAAAAGGCTTGAAAGCAATAAAGCAAGAACAAACAAACAAACAAACAACCAAAAACAGATGACAAGAATTTATGTTAAAACAACAGCAACAACAACAAAAACAGTGTTCAATAATAATAAAGTCCAACATATTTGTGTATAAATTGCATGTTTTAGAATGTCAACTTCAACAATTAAATGAATAAAAAGAAAATTTAAGACCTACCTGTCACAATGTAAAGGGAGATAACTATAATCAGTTGTAATCTCATGCTTGGAATCTGGAAGTAGAAATTGTAACTTTTAAAAACTGTACCAAAATATCTCAGAAAAAGTAGAAATATATATTTGGGTACCTTTCAAAACTTTACCAATGGCAAACATAATCTGCAACATAACCGAAGGCTTAACAAAAAGAACTCCTTCTTTATGTCATTAGTTACAGCAATTTTGCACAAGAAAGAAAGACAACAATATATTTGTTAAAAAAATAAAAACAACGTATATAATATGTTTATGAACTTAAAATAAATTTTATTCTAAACATACTCTTTATGTATTTAGAGTTTAGGGGAAAATGCATCCCATATATCTCATACGATTCAAACTAAAGAAATATCCAAAAATAAAAGGAAAATCGAATTTCATAAATTTTGCTAATTTTAAAAATCCTCTTTTTTGCAGATTAACCAAGATATATAAATATAGATATTACCAAAAGTAGTATAATCACACGCACTTGATTCGGAACACACAACTTTAAAGTTAATACTATTTAATTATCAACAAATACCGTAGTACTAGTGAAATGGATAATCAGTAATAAACCTTATTACAGCGTTTCACATAACACTTAATGTTCCTAATATGAATACGTCACGGGCGTTCATTATAATTTATTATGACATTTGTATTTAATAACTACAATTGATGTACAAAAAACCTTACCTTGATTTAATTCATACATAAATTGTTTATAAAGCGCGTGGTTCTGGTGCTTATTTAAATGCACATTGTGGTGGAATAATAGTGTTTTAAAGGCACATGATGCCTCAGAAACAAATAAGTTTTTATTTTTCTATAAAGGGCAGACATGACTTTAATAATATTTAAGTAATGGCTTTAATGGTTTTAGGGCATATTACATACTTATCATCTGAAGAAAGAAATGCTGAACATAACATTATTTGTCATAAAAGTAACAAAATGTAAACGACTTACATAGAAAATACAGTATAACTTTATGAATTGCAAAAAAAAGCAACAGAAGCAAAAATGCAGATACATGTAATTGGTCAATTAGTTACTTTTTCGAAACTATATCAGGACCAATACAAAAAAGCTTAAATGAAAAATAAAAATAAAGCATTTCTGAGGCATCATTGGCCTTAAATTATAGAAAACGCCTCCGTTTTTTATGTATTGCATATTGTTTATTTAAAAAAGAAGTGTCGCACGATATTTCAACATTATTTTTATCTATTTATTTTTTAGTTTGGTTCTTCGTCGCACCAACAAACTGATAGGTCATATGGCTATTTTCTGAAGTTTTCTTGGTGAAGGGAGACCTCAGGTGCCCTTACGTATATTATTTAAGGCACGAATGAGCACCTGAGTAAAACCACCGACATTCCGTTTACAAGCTAGCTCGATATCTCCCTCACATAATAATCCAAACTTTCGGGATTCGAAATCACAGCGGTTAGGGTTAAGTGGTTTGGATGTCTGCGCACGTTCTTACTTTACGCAGTTGTCTGGAATCAACAGCGTCGTATTCATTATAATCAAGCAACAAAGTGCACGACACGTTAAGTCTCACTTATAAACGATTATTCATTTTAGAACATGAATTGTAAAAACAAGCATCATCAAAAAAGTTAGCAACTGTAAAACACATTAATAATGTTAACTCGACTGCCACCCAACCTGACTTAACACTTTCTATGTATTCATTAATTGAAGGAATGATCCATTAAACAGCCAGATATAGTTTGACATAATGACTTCCCATCTTATATAAAGAATCATTTGTTAATAAAATCAGTTTTGACGTATTGCATTGAGCATTTGAAATATGTTCTATCTATTAATTCGAACAGACAGATCGATCAATCATACAGTGATCTGTTCAAGGCCAAGCCCCGTCCTATCAGTAGGTATTTACCATATATACATATTATTATATCTGAAGTTGATTTTTATACGTCAGAACTTACCCATAGTTGTTCATCTCTTATAATGCAACACTAATATAAATATAGTTTTGTTATCAATAACAATTAGAATGATGACAGTTATGATGATGATGACATTAATGATGATGATGATGATGATGACGATGATGATGATAATGATGATGATGATGATGATTGATGACGATGATGATGATGATGATGATGATGATGACGATGATGATGATGATGATGATGATGATGATGATGATGATGATGACGATGATGATGACGATGATGATGATGACGATGATGATGATGATGATGATGATGATGATGATGATGATGATGATGATGATGATGATGATGATGATAATGATGATGATGACGATGATGATGACGATGATGATGACGATGACGATAATTATGATGATGATGATGATGACATTAATGATGATGGTGATGACGATGATGATGTGAACCATTTAAGTGTGTGGTCAGAAAACCCGCCAAAACATTTCCTTGCAAGCTATTCGCCAATGAAATCACTGGTTTTATCATCGATAATTGTGGTTTTGTTGTTGCTGTTGTTGTTGCTGCTGCTGCTGCTGCTGCTGCTGCTGATGATGATGATGATGATGGTGGTGGTGGTGGTGGTGGTGGTGATTACGATAATGGTGGTGATGATGAATGAACATTCAAAATTATTTCACATGTTTTTTTTTATAAATAAATATCATTAAATAAATAAATAAATGAATATTATAAAATAAATTTATAAATAAATAAATATTATAAAACAAATAAATAAATAATGAACATTCATAATTATTTCACATATAAAATGTTTTATTATGATTTCCTGTCATTTAAACAACAAAACATTGATCAATTGTTCATTAATATTTCTTATTCTTTAATGCAATAAAAAATAATACAATATCATAATATCATTCTGAAAAATACATAAAAATGTTATCTAAAAACATGTTCATCATGATCAAATCATTATTTGTATTAGTAAAGCCCTGCATACTCCAAAAAATAAAGAATTTTATTTTAATTTACCTTATCGTTGCAAGATAGAAAATCTGTATCACTCAACAACCACTGCGCATACTAATCAACACATTAAACGATATGATTTAGTTAAAATTTACACGTATCGTTTCACATTACATTTTTTAAAAGATGTGTTTGTTTCAATCATTTTTATTTCACCACTATTTCATATATACGTGACAGAATCTTGTTAACGCCTTTTTTCCGACGTGGAATAGTTAAAGCGACTGGTTCACAATTTTAATATTGTCATATTTTCTCTAAAGCTATTTATATCAATTTTCATTTTCAGAAATGCTTCATTAATGCTTCATTAATGTAAAAAAGAATGATTATATGTGACTTTGAGGTATGGTCATTACCCTATTTTAAGGGTACTCCACTGAGGTTTTTTGACATGACGGAACTGGAAATATTTTTTCGATTTGATGTAGGTCTAGACAAATAACTTGTGTTCAAATTTTCCGATCATTGCTTTTTTTTTCAGAAAGATTATAATAACTGTGAAAAATTATCCACAGATGAAAAACGTTGCAACGCTTTTCACTTTAATCGGGCTAAAAATAGCAAAGAACTACGATTTTCAATTTATTTTGTTTTATATAAACCTAATATGCAAATGATTAAAATAATCAAATAAATAAGCTTAACACTGAAAAGTGATGTAAAATTACTTTATGATCAATTAAAGTTAAAGAAGAACCCTTAATTGCATAAGTGTCTAAAAAATAATAAAACGGTAAGCAATGCTTTTGAAATGAGGAAGGTAAAAGGTATTTTTTTTAGTTGTATTCTTTGAACTTTGGGAATACATGTATATAATTTACATATAAATATACTTATATCTTTTTTTTTCGATGAGATATAAAAAAATATCAGGAATATAAAAGTTTAACATTCTAATTTTGAGAACTACATTCACGGCATATGTGAGCGGGCTACTTTAAAACAGCTGGTATATATAATACTTTTCTATAACTATAAATACCGGTCCTTTTTTTCCCAAACAATTATGTACTGCAAAAAATATAAACCATATTACACTTACTTTAAAAAAACAGTAGGTTTGATATTTAAACGTTTAAGTATTTAAAATGTCAACTCACTTAAAAACTTATACACAACATTGTGTCAAACAATAAAACATTCGTTGAGAAAAATATTCATATACAGAAAACATAACATACCAGTAACTGCAAAAATATTTCGGCAATAAAAAAGGCTCAAACCTGTCTGATTGTCTCCAAAATCCAGAACTGGACTGATCAGCTGCCTTAACGAAGGTAAATAAACAAGCATGGTAAATTTTGGAGGACCCGCCTATTTAAGCAAGGGCGTTTAACATAATCCCTGTCAAAAAGGTTCGGGAGAAGATTAATACTTGGGCAAAAAACTTAATGAAAGCCTGTTGCGAAACAATCATTCAATTTAACAATTATACAGTTTAATATGTGTCAGAATTTATTGTTCCTTTGATATCTTTAATGCAGCAAAAGGCGCGGTCTATAATTAAGCATGCATGGTGTTTATATAATTGTATTACAAATTTTAACGAGGATTCAGACACATAGAAAAAACTATTTAAATTAAGTTATGCAATGATATTAAAAATGACTAAAAATATGACTGAGTAGTGTATTCGTTATTTAAGAATATTGTTTCAAGTTCGCCTGTGGTAACTGTAAGAAGTCTATAACAATCTTCAGTTCAAGTCAAGGGTGCGAAATTTTTTGAACGCCAATGCCTTTAAATGAATGCTTTCGACAGTGATTCGGCCAATCAGTTGGTCAGAATTTGGTAATTTTACATAGAGATAATGCTAATTCTGATACGTTCAGTAACCGCCCGAGAATTTATGCCAAAAAAAACCCCCACAACTCCATTTCTCCCCCACAAACCAATCAAATAATTTAACTGATTATATTATTTCAGTGAGTGTATAGGATCTATGTTAAAGGCTGAATGCTTTCGTTTTTATGTGTCTTGCTATAGTTTTCAAATTGTTACTCATTGGCAAGTAACATGAATCAAATTGTTTTTGTGTTACATTCTAGGAATTAGTACAGCTGAAGTGATTTGAGCCGCGTCATGACAAAACCAACATAATGGGTTTGCGACCAGCATGGATCAAGACCAGCCTGCACTATGTTGGTTTTGTCGTGACGCGGCTCATTTAGTATTTTGTATGGAAATCAAGATAGTTCTTTGTTTAAATGTTGCTACTTTCATGACCAATAATTTACCGTAACAATATTAGCATCTAACATGTTCTAAAAGCATTATTTTATTGTTGTAAAACTCATGTTTGCCCTTTCTAAAGAAGTTTTCTGAGGCATAAACGAGACAAAATCCTATATCCTTATTTAAAAGATTTTATGGCATTTATTGGAGTTTTTTTCTATAATTTTTCTTCTGTTTATCATGTATAAGTTAAAAATACAATACATACAGTATATATATGATAAAAATACATTGTTCTTGATGTGTGTATATGGTAACACGGTCACCACAAACCCCATTGTCCTGGCGCGTATGTTAGCGCATGGTCTACTTCTAACCATCGTCCAAAATGTGTTTGTCGTCGCACGATGACTTTCACCGCATTGTCCTTGATGCATGTATGTGGTTGCACCGCCAACACCACCTTTCGTGTAAACCCACTGAGCACGTCAACATTACTCATCGGAGTTACTCACACCATGAATATAACTCAATGGTCACTACTCAACACCGAGATTATTACTTATTACACAATGCTCAAGACGTGAACTTTACACAACTTATAAATGCCATGAACATTGTCTGTGAGCAGGATACTCACTAAAGTGAACATTACTCACTGAAGATTCGCGAAATCTTTGTACTTCATGTGAACTCAAAGTTTCCATCAATAGAATTTTCAAAGTGATGATTTTTTTTCTAGAAACACAAATGTTGCATAATAGCATGAAATTACATGTTTTTCTTTCCTGAAATGTTCTTTGATTTATTATTGAAATTAAGTACACTATAGTTAGATGTTATTAATGTTCCCAATTCATGTAATTATGACAATTAGATGATGAAATTCAATTCAACGAATTCAATGGGGAATTTTAGAAAGTAGAAAAATGAAATAGTTGCTGCCAGCCATGTATATTTATCCATACAAAGGATCACTTCATGTCGGCCAAGGGAAGTAACATATTGCCGAACTTATTGTCTCACATTATTGGCTTTTTAAAGTGTTCTCCCTTGGAAGCACGCCATTTGCAAGGGAACGCGCAAAATCAGTGACGCCCGTGAAAAACATGTCTTCCAAATACACAGGAAAATTCCATGGTATATTTAATCTTAGATCTAGTACAATTATTCTTTTACTGATCAGATTTTGAAATGTTTACCTTCTCTGGATCCTGTGGGGACCAGACTCAATTACGCAGAACCGCACATGGTGGGCAAATGGAATACGTCTGACACTACTGTCACTATCACTCAGTTTATTCCAATCGACAATTGCTTGTGGGAAAAATGATTGATTATAACTTAAAGTTTTACACTGCACAGTTTTAAAGCATTTAGAGTGATTTATTATCTGGTTTTCAATAATGTTTTCTGTGGCACAATTCTCAAGTCTTCTTTCACTCTGCGTTTATTTACTCGGTCAGGCGTCAAGTAGGAAGAACAGGCCTTTTACCTGCGTAACATAAGTTATGGCCCTTGAAAGAGGCAACATGCAAAGTTGGCCACATTTGTGCCCCGACTATGGGGGGGGGGGGGGGGGTTTGGCATTTGCATTTACCTTTGAGTCACATGTAGCTCAAAAAGTGTTTGACCTAGAGTCATGAAACTATACAGAATATTGGTCAGCATGTGTAGGGTGTTTGCTGGATGTTTGCGTGTGGATTTATTAAGTATTTGTAGAGTTATGCTCTAAGTGAAATTTGCAATTTTCAACTGGTGTCATACGTACAGTAGCTCAAAAAGCATTTGACCTAGGGGCATAAAACTTTACAGGAATATTGCCCAGCATGTGAAGTTGTACACACAACTGCACATGGGGTTTCGCTTGTTGATTCATTCTGTTTTGTCTGAGTTATGGCCCTTGACTTTAAAAATTTGCAATTTTCAACTTGTGTCGCATGTAGCAGTCAACACAAGAAGTATTTGACCTAGAGTCATGAAACTTTACTGAAGTGTTAGTCACATATGTAGTTGTGCATTAAAAATAATAATAATAAAAATCATTCCAAACATGTTGTGTTATGTGTTTGTACCTTGAGTGCTTGAGTTAGAACTTAAACATTTGTTTAGATTTTAAACAAACTACACAGAACAAAAAAATCAAGTGTAGAATCTTAGGTTACTTTTGATCCAATCATACATGACAGAGTGGATGGTCCCTGTCAGGACCAGGCTTGAATATTTTGCCTTATTATATATATTTAACTTAATAGCAGTTTCATCTGTAAAGATTGATTTGAATCAACATTTTATATGACCTCATGTGATAAGTCACAATAAGGTCGATGTTCCCTTTAAAGCCCATGCTTATCTGAATGATGTGATACAGACAGTGAGGCACTGATTTTATGTCAATCCCCTTGGTTACACCCCTGTGTATATTTCAGGAATAAAACCTGTATATATAGTAAGACTATGTAAGAAAATGGAATGAACCACATATATACTCCTGGTTTAGACCCTGAGGGCTATTCCAGGATATAGCCAATTTTATCTCGCTCTACTTGGTAATTGTATTTATCTTGATTCTTGTCTGTATCTAAAGTCAAACAAAAACTAGGTCTTTATTTCTTATTTTTTACTGGCCAGTTCTAAGTGAGTCATTGGTGCTAGAGTTATGGGTCCTTAAAGGATCAATATTGACCTTTTTTCAATTAATAAATTCTAAAAGTAAAAAAACTGTTTTGCCAATAGCTAACGATTGTCTTATAAAAAGCATTTCCTGATGGCCTTTTCTGTACATTCATGTTTTTGATATCACGACTAAAAGTGGGTCAAAGTTGGAAGACCCAGGTTTAACTGAAATAACCGCCTCCGTGGTCGAAGGGTTAGAGTCGATGACTTCTAATCCAGTTACCTCTCTGGAGTGGGTTCGATCCCCTAGAGATGCTTTGGTAGTTTAGCGCGGAAGAAGGTAGTCTAGTATTGGTGTAAGTCTCCAGGAACGATTGTTAGGAAACTACCCGCCTATATGACTTAAATACTGTTTGGAAATGGCGTAAAATGAACCAAACAAACAAAACAAACAAAAGTTAAAACTTGTATAAGTGAAGAATCAGAAATCTTATAAGCAACTGCAGAAAAGCCTAGATTATTTTTTTATTAAAAATGTAACTTAAATGGCCTTATATCAAGAATTTTAAATTCCTGGTCCAGGGATTAAATTTGGTCCTGTTCTTGGGTCTTTTAACACATATATAAAATGACACATTTAAACAATTAACAATTCTTTATTTTCTTCCATTTCATGAATGAAAACAAATAGAATATTCACACTTTAAATTAACATTTCAAGAAGCGTAAATTCTTTCATGAATATTTTATACATACAATCAATGGTTAAAGTAAGCACTAGCCTAAAAGCTTAAAGCAGCATGCCTCCAAATTCATGCTTATTTTCATGAAAATTTTAGAACTATTTCAAAGTGAAATATTGTTAAGTGAACAAAGAAAATAATTCACATATTATAAAACAGCTCTTGCAACTATGTATATAAATAAAAAAGAGGTCAAAATAAGAAAACATAGCTGTTACTGCGTTAGTAACACAGTATAAATATGGTGATCATTGATGCAAAATTAGTACTATATTAAACATATAAATTATTACTTAATCCTAAAACTTTTTACCTTTTTAAGAAACTTAGGTTATTTTTCTAAAGTTTAATTTTTTTGCAATATTTTGATTCATATGCAGCTTTAAATATGCAGCATATGCATGCAGCTTTAAAACTTGTAGATTTTCTCGAACATGCATGGAAAACATTTTTTTACCGCTGTTGTTGAAAATTAATTAGTTACTAGCCAACCTTGCTTGAAAAGTATAAATGCTTATTAATATGACTTCATATGAACATAATTTAACATCAGCAGTTAGGCCTGCCATAAAAATATCTTTGTTTCCCTTCCAGCAACCAGTTCCAGTCTGAAGAGGTTATATTGTAGGTTAAGGTAGGTAAAAATTTATTAAACTAAAATATTTTCATTTATTAAACACATTTATAATCATTCATGAATTAAAACAAGATATTGTGAATGAAGAACCAGTTTCAAAGATTTATAGAAATACAAGAAAGTTTGTAACTTTGATATATTAATGAAAAAATGAGATGTGATTCTAATTTACAGGCAACTTCCATGTTAAACCCAATTTTTTTTGCTTGGCAATAACATTTTTTGGGTACCAAAATTTTTATGGGTTAGTAGCTGAAAGGAAAACAAACAATATATGTTATTTTGGTTTTGGAGTGATATATGTGGATATATTACCTGTCAAGATTTTATATCACCTGAGCCGTCGGGCGAGGATGATATTTTATCTTGACAGGTAATATATCCACATATATCACTCCAAAACCAAAATAATAATTTTATTACCCTTCCCGTGCCTAGATTAGACGATTTTAAAACAAATCATTGCTACTTTAAATGAAACATCGAAATAAGATTCCCTTTAGGGTACCCCTTCACCACAACATGACGTCACGTAAATACATGACGTATTTTCTTTCGAACATAACGAATGTAAACATGAGAAAAGGAGTAGACTGTTGAATGCACTTTTTTGGAATTAATATCAAGCTTTCACAAGGTCATATTTGTTTCCTATACTGACGAGAATATGTATCATTACTCTATTTTGGTAAATATTTATCATTTGACAGTTTAAAAGTGCTTGTAAATCGGAATTTATATCGCGTAAAATCAAACCGTACGCGCATCGCACGGCACATGTTGTTTACAACGTGGGGTACCCTTCGGGGAAATTTAATGTGTATATTACCTGTCTGGCTCGGTAATATCAATTTCTTTCGGGTGATCAATATCCAATCAAAAAGGCCGAAAAAATCTGGAAGGGTAATAATATTTTATCTTAAGCCTTATCACAGTATCAACAGCTATCACAATAGGTTATTCAACCATTTTCATCAAATTATATACATGCAAACAGTTTTATTTTTCAATTTCCATTTAATTTAAAATGAGTGCTTAAAAGTGTATAAAAATGTATAAAGCTGTAAATTTGCTTCCTGTAGTTTACAAAAACAAAAATACTGGTTGAATTGTTTGAAAATGAATGAGTACCTTTCTTAAAAAAATATATGTTTGTGTATAATTTTCTTAAGAACAAATGGCACATGCATGATATTATCACTAAACAGATTAATCAGTACAGTATAATATTTTGATCTGTAACATTTTATTCAGTTTACGTACATTGTCCATGTGTATTAAATAACATAGACATTTTATGGCACAACTCTTTTGAGAACATTATAGAAGCAACATAAATTTACTTTCAATGGATTTTATCAACAAATTTCATTAGATACAGCTTTAGTTCTTTTCAGCTTTGACTCCAAACCGTGCAAAAAATGCTATATCTTGACATGAAGTTAAAAAATCATTCACAGCATTTGTTTTATCCACAGTTTGAATGAGTTTTTGTATTTTAATTTTACTTTAAACATTCGTTCAGTTACATGTAGGCAATAGTTTCTACAAATGTTTATAGTGCAATGCCCATCTCTAGGATATGTTGGATGTATCACAAATAAACTTCCATGCTGTCGACACAAAATGTGTTACTGCCAAGAATTGAGCACACATCGCACCCAGCAAAGTTGGTGAATGCTCTACTGTTTTGCCACACTTATGTTTGATTAACAAATGAGTTCTAATTGCAAAGTTGACCATACACTCCCCTCTATATTTCTTTTAAATCCAAATAAATTAAAGTGAACCAGAGATTAGGATATTTCATCCAATAATTTCATTTGAACTTTTTCCTGCCTTGTTCAACACTTCTTTTAACACACTTAATATATCCCTTTGCACAACTTGAAGTACGGTCTGATAAGAAGTGGAAATAATCAAATCCATTTATAATACTTAACTCAGATATCAGATCCTTGCAATCGTTGGTCACCCATATTGGAATTACCCTATTCTGTTTTCCCTTTCCATCTTTTATTCCTTTAGATAGTATATTTTCCTCTAAAAACCTAGCAAAGCTGTCGTCTGCTAGGTTTTGAGTACCAAGAACTAGAATGTTTCTATATTTTTCATGTAATTGTTCCAGGCTCCTCATTACTGTTCTACCGCTGTCAATCTCAGAAAATAGGTCAGCTGTGAAGCTCTGAAATCCTGTACCAATTTCCTCAGTGAGATGATCCCTGCATGTCTGAGCTAGGTCTGTGTCAGCCTCAGCATGAAGAAGTACTATGTCTCGCCGCCCTTCCCTTGTTAAGCTTGATTCTAAATATTTAAGAATTGAACATTTTAGAAAATACCAAAAAACTTAACTTTACTATTATAGATAAAAAGGAAGTTGATGACAGTTTTTTCAGTCCTGGAAAATAGCTATAATTTTAGCATTGCCCTAATATGAGCCTGATAATAAAATTTTTTAAAGTCCTTATAAAGGCCTTGAAGATTGTGTGGATAGTGATGAGGGTACTTTAAATGATACAACATGCAAAACGTTAAACTGGCATTAAAAAGTCCTGAATGTGTTATCTTTCTGAACCAAACTTCCTTTTGTCCTTGAATTTTCTTGTTAAAACAGAATCATGAAGTGCATACCTCAATCTAGTTGAATGTGGATGAAATGGTTTTGACCCCAGGTGTTGCTTTAAGTATGTAACACCCGACAAAATATATAAACCATAACAACACAAAGATGCCGACTTACCTGATCTGCAATTTGGTGATATTGTTGCTGTTGGGATAGAACTTGGTCTGACATTATTGGAAAATATTGTGGATTGTTCAGAAGTCTCTGTTGATAACATTGAAGATAATGCTGAAGAATTTCTTGAAGAGGTGGTAGGAAACATTGAAGGCGTAAAACAGTCAACTTCTGGAGGTGACAAGTTGTCTGTGAGTGATTCTGCTCTGTCTGACTGTCTACCCAATGAGCCAAGGTCATTCAAATGACTGGTGTGTTCTCTACTACTTGTTGCATCTATAAACAATACAAGAAATATCTAAATGTGTTTAAGTCAATGCTTACTGGAATAGTCTTTATGCATTAGTGATGTAGTACCAACGAGTGATTCCTTAAACAAATATAAATTATTCTACAAAAAATATTATTCCTTCATTGAATTAATACAAAATTCAATTTCAAGACTTAAATGTCCTTCTTCTTGGCATATATTAATTAATACAGTTTTAAAATAACATGAGCAATTGTTAATTAGAACAAGATATTATTTATATTGGATTTGGGATATTTTCATCCAAGAAATTTATGTTAGATTTATGAGTAGTGGTAAACAAACAGCACTAAAATATTGTTGTCATTCAAATTTTCACAGAAAAAAACTATTGCCAGGATTTGAATTAAAATGGTCTGGCAAGCCTAGTCTGTTACTGAGCTTAATAAGTAGGTTACAAGATTTAGTTTATACAAATTTTGTTCTGAAGGAGCTATAAGCTTACAGACATACTGTTGAATCCATTCCTGGAACTAACCAGTTCTAAGAAATGAGTGTAAAGCTTGTCGCTCAAAGAAACAATGGCTTGCCCGTATTAGGGGGTTCAAACCTACATGACCAGCAATCCTTAGGCTCGTAGTCTGACTCGTCAACCATTAGGCCACACCACTATGGTAGAATAAAGGTTAAGCATTGAGATTTTTATTGTAATTGTTGTGAGAGGTAACAAGCTACACACTTACCTGTTATAGAAACTTGTAAAGCTGATCTAACAGGTTTTGATCTTGCATTTGCTGCTGCTGGTGTTATTGTTGTTGTAATTGGTGTTGTTGTTATTGTAGTAATTGTTGTAGTTTCAGATGATATTGATGATGTTGATGTAACAAATGTTAAAGGTTCATTTGGTGATGATGATACTGATGATGATGGTAGTGATACTGATAGAGATGTTGGTACTGATGGTGATGATGATGATTGTTGTGATGATGGAGGTGGTGGTTTTTCTGGTGATACTGTTTGTAATGATGCTGTTGACACTGGGGATACTGTTATTGATGACTGTTTTGTTGAATGATTTTCATCTGATTTTGATGTGGTTGTTGGTGTGGAAACACCGTCATCTGATTTTGATGTGGTTGTTGGTGTGGTAACACCATCTACTGATTTTGGTGTTGTTGTTGGTGTGGAAACACCGTCATCTGATTTTGATGTGGTTGTTGGTGTGGTAATACCATCTACTGATTTTGATGTTGTTGTTGGTGTGGTAACACCGTCATCTGATTTTGATATGATTGTTTCAGTGGTAACACAGACACTTGATTTCCATATAGAAGTTGGTGTGGTAACACTGTCATCTGATTTTGATGCGGTTGTTGTGTGGTAACACCGTCATCTGATTTCGATATAGAAGTTGGTGTGGAAACACCGTCACCTAATTTTGATGTGGTTGTGGTGTGGAAACACCGTCACCTGATTTCGATGTGGTTGTTGGTGTGGAAACACCGTCACCTGATTTTGATGTGGTTGTTGGTGTGGAAACACCGTCACCTGATTCTGATGTGGTTGTTGGTGTGGAAACACCGTCATCTAATTTTGATGTGGTTGTTGGTGTGGAAACACCGTCACCTGATTTTGATGTGGTTGTTGGTGTGGAAACACCGTCACCTAATTTTGATGTGGTTGTTGGTGTGGAAACACCGTCACCCGATTTTGATGTGGTTGTTGGTGTGGAAACACTGTCACCTGATTTTGATGTGGTTGTTGGTGTGGTAACACCGTCACCTGATTTTGATGTGGTTGTTGGTGTGGAAACACTGTCACCTGATTTTGATGTGGTTGTTGGTGTGGAAACATCGTCAGAAACACCGTCACCTGATTTTGATGTGGTTGTTGGTGTGGAAACACTGTCAGAAACACCGTCACCTGATTTTGATGTGGTTGTTGGTGTGGAAACACCGTCAGAAACACCGTCACCTGATTTTGATGTGGTTGTTGGTGTGGAAAATACTGTCACCTGATTTTGATGTGGTTGTTGGTGTGGTAACACTGTCAAGCTTAACAGTTGTTGCTGATGAGATCGAAATTGTTTGCTTTATTTTTCAGTCAATCTAGCATCAATGCTATCTAGAGAATCAGAAATGTTGGCTGATGCTTGATCTGTTTGGTCTGCAATTTCTCCATCATTTTCGGGAATGGACCAATGGCTACTTATTGATTTAGGACTTGTATTCTCACAAAAAGACTGGGAATGTAATAATGTTGCATTTTCTTTGGAATTTTTCATCAATTCTGTAGTTGATTTAGACTTTCTAAGAACGGCATTCTTATTCTTCCCTTTTTTTGTTTTTAGTTGTTGAGGATCAAGGGGAAGCTGTTGCTTAGCTGTCTCTTTTGATGCTTTGACATTCTCCTCTTTGTCCAGGATTGCTTCATTTTCTGCCATTTTGTTTTCTGAATGAAAAGAAATAATTATGTTTAATGAGATAAAAAAAGTAATATAATCAATTGTATTATCATTTATTATTTGAATATATTGCATTCAAGAAAAAAGGGTGAATGGGAATAAATTTAATCTTAGTTATCCCTCTTTGGTTTTCATTTCATGACCTAATGGTTTCTAATTTACCTGATAACCTTTTTTTTTAATAATCAATTTTACAGCTCCTGATTGATAAATCAGGAGAACAAATTGTTTTTGGTCTCTGTCTGAACTTTAACCTGGGTTTTTTATAAACACTGAAGTCTGTCCATCATAGTACTGCCTTCAATCTTCAAAAGTGCATGCACCTTGATGATCTGTAATTGTCAGACATACTAAGAGGTCATGGGTCAAAAATCAAGGTCATGCACAGATATGACCAAACAAGTGTTAAAATCTGTGTAAAGACAATTTTAAGCATATTTTAAAGTAGAGGTCAATTAAAGGTCAAAGTCATATGATAATTCAACATGTTGATTTTGTGTTCTTTTATCATAGTATAAATCAAATTTGTAAATAAATAACATTATAAGTTATGACAATTTAAGCAAATTTAAATGGTTTGACCTTGACAGTCAAGGTCAATTAAAGGTTAATTGATATCAAGTGATTTGTCATATGTGTTATTTTGTCTGTAAATAAATAACAAAAAGTTGAACTAATTTCAATAATTTGACATTGATGGTCATAGTCATTTAAAGGTCAAGGTCATTATTGAATAACTTAACATGTTAGAATGATGTATTATAAGTGTTCTTTTGTGCAAGTATAAATCAGATCCATAAATAAATAACAAAAATGTGGCCAACTGTAGCAAAATTCACTATTTTGACCTTCAGTGTGACAGTGTCATGGTCAAATTTAAGTCAATGTCAAGTTCAATTCAATCTCCTTTAATATCGTGTCCCAAGGATTGTTGTGCCCAAGACAATTTATTTATTACTTAAAAAGGTATGGCCAATTAGCAAAAAAAAAACCCCAAAAAACCATGAAAATTTACACTCATTTGACCCTTAAGGTCAAGGTCATTTATAAATCAATGTCTAATACAATTCTTTAAGATATTGTCCAAGATAGTTATGCACAAGTATCAAGACATTCCATTTATAAATTATTGCAAAATTCAATAATTGAACCTTGAAGGTCAATGTCAATGAGTGAAGGTTACAATCAATTTGGCCTACATAAAGGTCTTGTCCAAAGGATTGTTGTGTGTAAATATCCAGACAATCCATTAAGAAATAAAAAAAAATAATAGCCTGACTGTTAAAGTTTTTTGTTGGCAAAGCTGGGAACAGACTTCATGATTGTAGAAGAACCTTAAATGTTTTCTTTAAAAAAAAGTGTGGCAAATTTGAGTTGATAGATATGAAAAATTATTGTACTTTTGTAGAAAACTACAAATTAATGCTACATGCCCTATTAAAGTTCTGGGCTTTTATAGTTTAGGAATTAATAATTTCAATAACTAAGTGACCCCCAGAGTGGAGCCAGTCTTAACGATTTATGTAACTTTTGTAGAGGTCAACTAAGCAATGCCACATACCAAATATCTAAGCTGGGGCATTTTAGTTTCACACAATTAGACTTAAATGTGTTATCATATTAATCTATATTAACTAAGTGACCCCTTGGGCGGGGCAAATATTGACCAAAGGGGAATGATCTGTATCAGTTTTAAGGAGGTTCACATGACAATGCTACATAGGAAAAATTAAAACTGTTGTTGTGAAAAGAGGGCCACATTACCGAGGTAAGACTGTATTAGACATACTCGGTTATAAATTTGCTAAGGTTACTGACCATGTCAATACTGGTTTAGATGTTATAGTATTAGGAAGCTAGGAAAAACAAGTGCATTCTTAGATTTATTTATTCTTTAAAATTCAAAACCAATGATGAACAGGGTGAGCAAATGTGCAGCCTGAACAGAACTTGAACTCAGGACCCCCTGGAATACCTTTCCGCAGCTCTGCCAACTGAGCCATCCCACCCTTTACACATTTTTCCCCCGTATTAGTGAACAGTTCTGAACCATGACATACTATCCTGCTATATAGAAAATCGTCCGATTACAAGGCATTTGAATAAAACTATGAACTCTATGCAGTCACGACCCCACGTCTCCTTTTTTGTGGCCTTAAATTGGCAGAATAATACATGATTTAAGCATCATCTTTGGATCTGATCTTTCCTTGAAAAATGGACCCAATTAAGGTTTCTGCCAATTTAAGGTCCCAAAAAAAAAAGAAGACGTGGTCAGATCACTTCATACTGATAATTTTCATTAAATGATATATGATATTTATCTATGTTAATTAATTTTAAAGGATATGATATTTATACCCCCACCACAAAATGTGGGGGGGGGGGGGCTATAATAGATATGCTTTGTCGCGTCGGTCGGTCCGTTCGTCCGTCTCCATTTTCGTGTCCACTCTATAAATCCTATACCAATTGAAGGATTTCTTCAAACTTGGCTCAAATGTTTACCTCAACAAGGGGATGTGCAGAACCCATGTTGTCCGTGTGTCAGCTCAAAGGTCACAATTGAAGGTCAAATATCAAAACAATCAAATATTAGGACAGTATGTCGTGTCCGCTCTGTAAGTCCTACACTAATTGAAAAGATTTTCTTCAAACTTGGCTCAAATGTTCACCTCAACAAGGGGATGTGCAGAACCCATGTTGCCATGTATCAGCTCAAGGTCTAAGGTCACAAATTGAAGGTCAAATATCAAACAATCAAATATTAGACAGTATGTTGTGTCCGCTCTGTAGGTCCTACACAAATTGAAAGATTTTCTTCAAACTTGGCTCAAATGTTCACCTCAACAAGGGGATGTGCAGAACCCATGTTGCCCATGTGTCAGCTCAAGGTCAAGGTCACAATTGAAGGTCAAATATCAAACAATCAAATATTAGACAGTATGTTGTGTCCGCTCTGTAAGTCCTACACTAATTGAAAGACTTTCTTCAAACTTGGTTCAAATGTTCACCTCAACAAGGGGATGTGCAGAACCCATGTCACCCTTTTGCCGGCTTAAGGTCAAGGTCACACTTGAAGGTAAAAAATTGACCTAGAAAATATTCTTAAATCTTAACATGTATTTGAATATTTCTGAAACTAGAATAGGTATTTGCTTGAAACTTAAAAAATACATGAAGTGTCACAATTAAGATATGCAGGTCAAGTTTCATAACTCTGTATTGCATTTTAACAAAGTTATGCTCCTTTTTAGCTCAACTATACGAAGTATATGGAGAGCTGTCCTACTCGCCCCGGCGTCGGCGTCCACGTCCAGATTTCAGATTAAAGTTTTGGTGCAGTAAAATATTTTTCACTATAACTTTGTCATTTCAAGTATCAACTTCAAACTTCAAATATATGTTCCTTATCATCAACCACATCTTATGTGACAAGGTTCATAACTCTAGCACAAATATTTTCAGATTTATCTCCCCTTGAACTTAGAATTTTCCTCAAAAAATACTATTTTTTACTGTTACTTCTTTATTTCTTAAGGGATCAACCTCATACTTCAAATATATGTACCTTATCGTCATCCCCATCTTATGTGACAAGGTTCATAACTCTAGCACCAATATTTTCAGATTTATCTTCCCTTGAACTTAGAATTTTCCTTAAAAAATACTATTTTTTACTGTTACTTATTTATTTCTAAAGGGATCAACTTCATACTTCAAATATATGTAACTTATCATCATCCACATCTTATGTGGCAAGATTCATTACTCTTGCACTAATATTGCAAGAATTATCTACCCATAAACTTAGATTTTTTTACTAGAAAAATGTTATTTTTTACTGAATAACTTTTTTTTAGTTTTAAAGGTATCTACCTCAAACTTCTCAAATACTTATTCCTTATCATCAATTACATTTTATGTGTCAATGTTCGTAACTCTTCGAAAGCAATATTTAACAGATTTATCTTTCTTTGAACTTAGGATTTTCTTTAAGAAATATTATAACTTCTTTACTTTTTAAGGTATCTACTTCAAACTTCAAATATATATTTCTTATCATTACACACATGTTGTGTGAAAGGTTCATAACTCTAGCACAGGGCCGGCAAAATCTGATTTTGACTAACTTGTCCGTTTTTACTTTAAGCATTTCTTTACTTGTCCGTATGATACTTATATAGTAAATTTTAGAAAATTTCCACTTGTCCGTACAGGCTGTGGGACAACCTGGACAATACGGACAATTGATTTTGCCGCCCCTGTAGCATGACTTTTTCTAGAATTATTCCCCTTGATCTTGGAATTAATGTTAATAAATGATATTTTTTTACTATAACTTAATACATAATTATATATAATTGGTTTTTCTTTCATTCTATACTAA